TGGTGTGACCTAGTCTGGTCCAAAGCCCGAGACCCAGGGGAGCTGGTGCTGTGAATCCCAGTCCAGGGCCGGAAAAGATGCGGTGAGACGTCCAGTGAACAGTGAGGCAAGAAAAAAGGAGCAAATTCCTCCTCCTTCCACGTTCATTCTCTTCAGGTGGACCACTGATTCAAATGCTCCTCTCATCCAAAGACCCGCACAGACACACCCAGAAATCATGTTTCGTCTGGATGCCCGTGGCCCGTCAAACTGACATATAACCTTCATAGTCATTATAGTTTTGTGGCCTTTTATTAAAATAATTGGGTTATAAATCCATGAATTAAAACCAAGCCAAACAAAACCTAGTACCCTGGGTTGAACAATGTTGGCAGCATTGTTTTTTGTTCGTTCGTTCGTTTGTTTGTTTGTGTGTTGTTGTTGTAGAAGTCATAGTGAAGTCATAGTAGAAGTAGTAAGGTTAGGAAACACATGGTGGTAGGTTTGGGCTTATACACACACGTATATACACTTCTGTGTATATGTATACACAAATGCACATAAACATATGTATGTGGTACACAATTATTATAGACGTATGACATGTATATCCTGTGTAAATGTGTATCATATATCAGAATATCTATGCACAGCTGTGTGTGTGTGTGTTTTGTAAAGATGAAGAAGTAGGAGAGCTGGTGGTAGGGGTGGCAGAATTTCAAGTTCAAGTGGGGGAAGTGTGGAATGGTAGGAAAAGTGGTCGTGGTGGTCGTGGTGGTCAACACTGTGCCAAGCACATCAGTAAACACAGCATAGTTCTGTCCAGGAGAAGAGACTTGGGTCCAGCTACTCATCCAAGGTCACAGGTAGAGCTGACACTCAGCCCCACAGCTATTTTCCAAAGCCTGAGTCCCCTTATCACCATTCTGCCCGACGGCTTCACTGATTCTTCATCTTTATCGATCATCTAAAATGTACGAGATGGAAGCTTTATTAGCTCATGACAGAAAAATGCCCTTTAAATATTTTTGTGTATGTTTGTGAACCTAGTACAGATCTATTTTAGATAGCATGGATGTAACTTTTTCAAATTTAATCATCAATCATTTAATTCAAGAGAAAGAGTTCTTAGAGTTGAAAGCCCGAAGACAGAGTAGACTTGCAAACGTATTTACTGGGAACAGGAATTTTCCCAGTTTGGGACTTTGAAACGTTCAGAAATTACATGGTCTCATACTTCCTTGTCACCAAGAATCTGTGGAGTGTCACACAGAGCAACTCTTGGCTAAGCCACTCTGGTCTTGTCTCCAAAATGTGTGGTCCATTGAAATAAGAAGTAGAAGAAGCTGGGTGTTCAACTTAGATTTACTCCAAAGAAAATAAACACCAAAGGTCAGCCATCAGAAGTGTTCTGTTCAAGTCTCAATCTTTCTACTTAATGTAAGCTCTTTAGATTTTCCAGAACTGTTTGCAGTGACATTTTTTGACTCACCCTCATGCAAAGTGACGCAGAGGAAGGTGAGAAAGAAAAGGTATCTGTCAGGTATTTCCCACTTGTTAACTCAGCTATTCCTACAGCGACCCTATGAAGTAATCAAGGTTCTGAGAACCTAAGTGACTGCTAAGACCACGCAGCCAGCGAGGGATGGATATGATGAATCTCAGCACAGTGTCTGACCGATAGAAAACCCTCAACCAACAGTAGCTACTACTGTGATGGGTAATTTCTCCATTTGAGCAAGTGAACAGATGTTTGGATGAGCTGTGTGTACTTCTTCAGAGTATGTAGCCTAATACAGATGTTGGCAGAAATTATTCTCCAAAGGAGGGCTGTGTCCCCAGGGTAGACATGGCAAGTGCAAAGAGCATGAGAGGTCACGAGTCCGTGCTTCGGCCAGAGAGAGCCAACTGGTTCAAACATTGAAGCTAAGTCTCCAGTGCCTTAAACATATGAAGGTAAATCTCTAAGGGTCCAAACCAAGAGGGAGAATCTGCTTGTGGAAATCATCTTTAACCCTTGCATCACATTACAGAGCTGCTGCTTCTTCTATGTACTATTTAAATTACCGGAGGTTTCCTATAAGAAAATCAGGAAAATACAGAAGCCTGATGCGATGCCAGTAATGAAAAGAACTTTCCAAAATGAAAACCCCAAACTTATTTTTTTAAGAACACTAGAATCTCTGTCCTCCAATATAATAATATTACTGGCATACTTTTGTAGAAGGCCTGTATGAAGAGGGCAAACATTTCATTCAATCGCCACAACATACCTTTAAAGTAGATTTTATTATTATTTTTTTTTTTATATAGAGCAGGAAACTAAGGATTAAGGGATTTATTCAAAGCTTCATCATTAGAAAGTGGAAGAGCGGGGATACGAATTCAAACCTGTCTGACCCCAAGCTCCAAGTCCGTCGGTAATTCTGTGCTGCCTCCCAGCAATGTCCACAGGTCTGGAGACAGACTATCGACTTAACAAATGTGGAAACAAAGAAATTGAAGCATAGATATATTTAATTCATAGAGTTATTTCTTCCCTGCTATCCAAGTTCTTTATATCGACCCACACTGCATTAAATCAAGGCAGATTTCAGATCTGGTTTTAATGAACCAGAAAGAAGATAAAAGACATTGTCAGATAGCAGAAAGGGAGGTTTAAATATATCCACTGTATCTTTTTTCTCTAACATTAATCCTGAGTCTGACTTTCTGTTAAGACAATTGATCTGAAGACGCCTTTTTTCACATTTGGGTGAAATTCTTTCCGATCATCCAAAGTCAGGTATTTATTCATTTCTGACAAAAGTAGTGTAAGAAATTGATTAGATATCTTCTTTCAATTTGCCCACAAATTGTTTCTTATTAATAAAGTTAATTTACCATAAACCCAGTGAGATTGGTTCAGCCCCCAGAGCATGAGGTACATGGTATAGTCTATAATTTAAGAAAGTTTCTCTTGATTACTTCATGTAGGGGGAGGGGAACAAGATAGTGAGGGGAGAAATTACTGATGCATTAGAGTTTATTATTTTTTCTTATTAGCAAAATGAACTATTCATATGTATTTAAAATATTACAGAAACCACGAAAAAACAAACAAACAAACAAACAAAAAACCTGAATATATCCAAAGTGGCTAAACATTTCAATTCTTTTTAATGATTACAGTTAAATTTTAAGATCTACAATTAAGTCTGATGTTAATCCAAATCTCTATCCACTCCTAAACAATACAAGCCCTGAAAATAATCCCCATTACCTTCTCTCACCATCTTCCATAGTATTATTTAATATTTTAATTCCATTTTATTTTCCAAGTTCTACAAATTAGTCATTGTTTACAGTCAGTATTTATTTTGATTTACCACTTTATTCATTTCTTTGGTCACCATGTTTTATACCCTACTTTATTTCTTGTGCAATTTCAGGGATCTGTGAGCAGTAAATGCATGTATAGGTATTGTATTCTGAAAACATTTTTGTTTCTTCCTCACCCTCAAATGAAAATTTAGCTTGGTAAAATTTTATATTGGCAGAGATCTCTCATTGCTGTAAGATATTACCCACAAGCCCACCATCTACGGTTGATAACGAGAAGTCCATTGTTGGTCTGCTGTTCCTGTCTTTGCTCTCACGCAGCTTTTACATCTTCCTCTTGTTCTTTGTCTTCTGCTAATTTATTACATATGTGTAAGTGTAGATTTGCTTCAATACGTGGGTTCATGAACCGTTTCCATTTTAGAAAAATCTTAGCTATTATTTGACTATTGACTTCTTTTCATCATCTTTTTTCCTTTTAGAACCCCGTGTGTGTGTGTGTGTGTGTGTGTGTGCGCGCGCTCGCACATCTGTATGTTGAACCTTCTCATTCTAACCTCCCTACTGTTAACTTTCCCTTTAATATCTCCCATCTCTCAGTCTCTGTGCTGTCTTCCAGGTAACTTCCTCAGCTCTAACTGCTTCACCAATCCTCTGCTGCGTCCAGTCTTCTTTTCTACCTGTACATTAAAGTTTTTAGGTTAAGAATTGTATTTATTATTTCCATGACTTCTTTCTTGTCTCCTAATCCTCATATTCTTTTTCACACCCTCTAATGGCTTATATTCTTCACTTTATTTCTTGGAACACGCAAAACGCACTTATTGTAAAGCCGCTTCCATGTCATTCTGTGATTTCACTCTCTCACGGGTGATAGCTTCTCCTTGTGGGGTGTGCAGCTTTCGACTCTACGCTTGTGTTCAGGGGGGATTCTTTCTTTTAGAAGCCGTAGGTGAGCAAGGTTGTGGAAGCATGTTGACTGCATTGTTGCAGATGTGCTTTGGACGGGGGAGGGTTGGATTCCAAGCACCCTTTAGCTTTGTGTCTCTGAAGTACACAGACAGTACGCATTTAGAACCCACGCCTGTACTGTGGGGTGGAGTTCCAAGGTTCTGGTTCCTCACAGGTGACTCTTTTAGCTCTGATGGCCATAGTCAGATAGCAGTCTTCCCTGCTCAGACCCTGGGAGAGTGCACCAGTGTGTTTTTAGAATTTGTTTTACGGATGGGATGGTATTTTGTGACTCTGGACTTTATGCTGATGGCTCAGTTTCAGCTTCCTGTTCAGATGAGACCTGTGGCTCAGACTTAACTTCTGACTCAGACATTAAATCCCAGCCAACCAGTCACTAACATCTTTCTTCATCTGGTTCCAATTTTCCTCCAAGCTCCTTGGATGCAATTCTCATTGACGGCTTTAATTGTGAGTTTCCTCGCTCTGTCTGACACTTGGGGTTTTTTACCTTACTGATTTCGAGATGAGTTAGGTGTTCTTTGTGTAAGTCTTTGCATTGTTCTATTTCACCCAGAATCCCTGCGTATTTAGAGCCGGGGTGGTTGCCTTCCATATCTGCTGAGGTTAGCGCATTGGCCAGACATACTTATATTACCTCTCTAATGAGGAGGAAAATGCAAAAAATTTTACATTGTGCTTAAAGAAATGTTCTATTTTAATGAACCTTTTTTCTCCCCACTTCCCAGTGCTGAATTTGAAGAGCCACATAATTACGAGGCAACCATTTCGTATCTGAGACTCTCTGGCAACCCCATTAACCTGCGCACTGCGAAGGAAATTGCTGATTGTAAGTCTGCTAAGCCAATTACTATTGTAACCCCATGTGGAATGAAAATGTGTCAAAAATGGTATTTTCCCTCAGCTCACGATAAGTTTAAACATTCATAGCCAATGCTGCTTTACCATCTAATTTCTCTCTTCTGCCCCCTCGCCTGGTCTCTTAAAAACATCAATACGTGCATTTGGGCATCGGTGCTATCTCACGACTCCTGGTGCTGCCTTCTCTGCGCTCTCATCTGGTCTCTCCTTCACCAATCTTCTTGGAGCCTTTGCCTTTTGTCCTCGAGTGGGAGGGAAACATCAAGATACGGCGATTCATTTTTCTTCCCTGTCCTCCTATACACTCTTCATCTCTCTCCTTACGGTGTCTTTCTTGAATTCCCCTGGTAACTCCATGTGTGGGGAGGGAGATAACACATGAGAATGAGGTCCCTGTGTCTAGCCTGGATAAGAGCACAGGATTCATTTAATGGATCTGACCGCTGGCTCAGACCATCTTCTTGCCTCTGGTATCGCCCAAAGAGCTCAGGGTTTTCTGTGAAAAAGGAGACACTGTCAGGTAAGAAGATGAAGCAGCAGGGACTCATCGCATTTCTGTGGGTTTATAGGTCTGTGTTCTGCCCGTGGGGTCAGTGAGTTCTCTACAAAAGGCGTCCATCCTGGTGCTGGAATAAACAGTAGCATTTACTGAGCTCGTGCGATGGGCCACAGTCCATGTTGGGTCCTTTGTGTACCTCCCTGCTGATATGGCGATGTTAACCCACTTTCGAGATGGGAAACTCAAGGTCAGAAATTGAGATGCACAAGGTCACACAAAGGATTTGTGGGAGCGCTCCAGTGTGAATGTGCTCAGCGGCCTGTGAGGTCCACGCTCTTCCCACCACTTTATGTTGCTTCTCCTTCAAGGAGGTTTTGCTTCCCTGCAAGCAGGATTGGACAGAGATCATCTGGTCCGACCGCTTTGTTGTGTAGACAAGAAGCCCAAGGCTCTGGGAGAGAAAGTTATTTGTCTATAAGATACACCCTCAGGGGAACACATACTGAGAAAGTTGGGGTAAGAGTCAGGACCCACTGACATTCTCTCCCTTTCCCAGGACATAAGGCATGAAAGAACCATGGGAAAAATTTACTTTCTCCTAGATGGGCAAAATCTAGATTTCCCCATATGGCTTGTAAACTGTTAGCCATGAGAAGAGCCACCCCTGCCCCTGTCACCCCGAAAGGTAGCGCTGCTCCACACTCGGTTGTCTGGGATCCTGCATTAGCAAGTGGCTTCTTGAATTCCGACATTCACATGATGACCTAGACCTTGTTAAAACATAGAATTATTCAGTGGCTCTGCCTCCGGACTGAGAGTCTGTATCTCTAACAACTTTCCTGGTGATGCTGATGCTGCTGGTCCCCAAGCTACACTTTGAATAGAAGGGCGGTGGGCCCCATTGGGCTACCTTCCAGCGGCATGCCTTTCTCCAGAGCTGAGGGCTCACCAGGCCCAGGAGATGCTCCGGTGAGGTTCTCCCTCTGGACTACACGAGACCCCGAGAATTCCCTCCCCCCACGTGGCTCCTGAGATCCTGCGTAGATCCTTCCCCTCAGAACAGACCAGGCTACATGGCTGGTGGGAGGGGCATGGATGGGGTTTGGACAGACACAAGGGTCCTCATGGTGTAGGGTGCAGCCGGGGACTGAAAATGGGAAGTTGGTCGAGAGGCCTGCATTTGTCCTCTCTAAGCCTCACATGGTCAAGGTGGGCCTGCAGGGACATCACGTGAGAAACCCAAAGAAACCCACTCACCCAAGAGATTCTCTGTGTACTCACTTCATGGACCGTGCTGCTAGGCAGGCAAGTGTCTAAAACTGGAAGGGGATGGGGCTCAGAAAACAAGCCAGGGATACCACTGAGGAGTGTAGGGCAAGCACGGGGGGAGGGGGAGGGGGAGAGGGCTGCCCCTGCCAGAGGGCGTCCTGTGGGACATAGCACTAGGCTGTGAGTCACTCTCCTGGGCTTGGTGGTTCTGTACATGGGCCCACTCCCTTCCCTGCCCCCTCTAAAGAGACAGGCTATGGGTTACCCTGCGGAGAAAAGACAGAATCGAGTGGCTATTTTACTCCCGCTTGTCCCTGTTCACTGAACTCTTCCATCTTCTTTACACCACGTCCTGGCTGAATGGCATCTGAACCTCAGTTTCTTCATATATAAAATGGGCATAATATGATGTGTCTCTTGTAGAGTTATCCCGGGACTTTGATAAGAGAATATGTCTAAACGAAGTGCAGTTCTGCTTTTGGGCAAACAGAGCAGATATACTTTTCCCTAGTCCCCCTGCGACGTGCAATTAAAACCCCTGGGAAGTTACAAAACAGGTATAAGGGAACCAGAAGACTCTGAAAAGGAAGACAGAAGAAGGGAAAGGACCAGGGAAGGAGAGGTGGTGGGTTTCCTGGTTTCTTCTTGCCTCCTGTCTCCCAGACTTGGAGCTGAAGAAGCCGCAGCCCGGAAGCGTCGGTGGGCAGAGACAGAAACAGCTCCAACCAAAGCCTCCTGTCTCTAGCCAAAGGGGAAGCCTGGACACACAGAAAGCCTCCAGACAGTAACCACCTACTGCAGCCAACGTCACAGGAAAAGACGTGGGCCCATTGTCATTAGCTAGTTAATAATAATAGGAAAGGAGCAAAAGAAAGCCAGACATTATAGGCCTGTCATTTGGACAGCTTCACTGGGAAGCAACAACTTTACACTCCCCAGGGGTCCAACAGAGAGAAGATGCCCAGTGAAGTCAGGATGCCATGGGGAAGATGTATGCCTGTCAGTCACACCTGGGAAGAGAGGTCATTGGCCAGAATGGGCGAGGCCACTGCAAGCACACAAAGCTTTGGGATACTTAATCCCCTGAACAAAGACGTTCACTCTCTTGGTTTCCCTTGGCACGCTTGGCTCATGGTTGGCCCCTGGCATTGTCCCATGTGGCCCATGGCCACGGGGACCCCACACACAATGAACGAATGGACTGCAGCTAGCCTGATGCTGGACTGGACCAGGCTCCCAGAGGAAACTCTGGACACTGGTTTTGATTTTAGCACTACTGAAACCCCAGTTACACTTCTTCTATGACTGGACTAAGGGAAATGGGACTTTGGAAACCCAGGTGTAATTCCACAGGAATAAAGCATTCTGCTCTATCACATCCTCCCATGGGAGCCTCAGGAAATTCCTCTTCTCAGGACATCACAAGGACCTCGCCCCCAACAGCGACTGGGGCGACAAGTCATGCTTTTCTCCAATAACAGCCCACTCCCACAGAAAATGCTGAGTGGGGGGCCTAGATCACCATCCTCATCAGGCAGCAAGGGTGCACCCCAGCCCCTCAGCTGAGACGGCTTCAGAGAAGACCAAGTAGGGAGCTTGGACTTGCATCCCTGCTGAGAGTAACAAATCTCCACCTGCGGTGAAGGTCAGTGGAGACCCCATGGGGAGCTTGAACTCCAATCCCCCACCCTGTAGCAGCAAGGTGCCCCTTCCCTCCTCATTGGGATGGAATCAGAGGAGACCCAGTGAAGAGTCAGACTTTCACGACCACCCAGGAGTTGGTGAAGGAGCGATGACGGGCCCTCCTACCCCTGTCAGCCGGGCAGAAGCAAGTGGGGAGCCACAGCGCCCACTCCTGCCCCGCAGTGATGCAGTGCCCTTTTCCCATCGGGGTCTCGAGGAGGCCAAGAAGTGGGGAACCTAGACTTCTGTCCCCACCCGGCAGAAGAAAGGCGCTCCTCCGCCCCTCGTGCTGCCAGAAAAAGCCAGCTTAAAGAGGGTTAAATCATACTCAGAATGCCCAGGTCTCACCAGGAAATCACTCATCATTCAAAGAGCCAGAAAAGCCTCAACGTGAATGGGAAGAAGTGATCAATAGATGCCAACATAGAGATGAGTGACGTGTTAGGATTTTCCAACAGAGACTTTAAAGCAGCTGCTATAAAAAAATGTTTCATTGAGCAATTAAGACCTTGATTAAAACAAATGGGAGGAGGGGAGCCTTAGTGAAGAAATAGAGTGTAGATGACAAGAAATTAAAGAAAACCGAAATGGAAATTTTAGAACTGAAACATGTAACGAGAAAAATAAAAGGCTCAATGGATGGGTTCAACAGCATAAAGGGAACAAAAGAAGAAGTGAACTTGAATGAAACAACAAAAATTACCCAGTCTGAACAATAAGGAGAAAATAGACTAAACAATAAAATAAACATAGCTTCAAGCTATCCGTGGGATGATAGCAAAAGTCTTAAATTGGTATCTTGGAAAGAAAGGAGAAAGAGGATCCTACTGGAAAGATACCTGCAGAAATGGTTACTGAAAACTTCCCAAATCTGGCAACGAGAAATCAGTAACCAAAAGGTAATGGAAAACTCTCCAAATACTTAGAAACAAAGCAACGCATTTCTGAACAATCCATGAGTCATAAAGCAAGTCACAAGGGAAATCAAACACATGTTTGAACTGAATTAAAATGAAAATACTACATTTCCAAATAAGTGAAACACAGCTTACCCGATGCTGAGAGAGAAGTTTATACATTACAAAAGAGGAAAGGCCTCAGATCTAAGATCCTACCCTAAGGACATAGAAAGGGAAAAGCAAAATAAATCCAAAGTTAGTAGAGGAAGAAAATAATAAAGATAAGAACCAAAATAAATGATACGGAGAAAAGCTAAACAATAGAGAGGAAAAAAATCAATGAAACCAAAATCTTGTTCTTCGAAAAGATCAATGAAACGAACAAACCCCTAGGAAGACTGACAAAGAACCAAAGGAAGAAGATACAAATGAACAATATCAGGGATGGAGCAGCCCTGGCCGGTTTGGCTCAGCGGTTAGAGTGTCGGCCTGCGATCCAGACAGAGGGATGAAGCAGATATGATTACAAACCCTGCAGACATCAAAAGGATGACAAGGGAATCTTATGAACAACTTCACACATAATAAATTTTACAGTTTAGAAAAAAATAGAATGAGTCCTTGAAAAGCACACACTAGCCCTGGCCAGTTTGGCTCAGTGGTTGAGCATCAACCTGCGGACCAGAGAGTCCTGGGTTCGGTTCTCACTAGGGGCACGTACCACAAAAAAAGAGAGCACACACTATTGATGTAAATCAATATTGTTTTTATAATATTAGTAATAATCATCTCGCATTCTAGTGTAAATGAGGTAAAGAAACTTTTCCAAGGTCACACAGGGAGTTAGTACATGGAGAAAGAGCTGAGGACCTGCAAGGCAAGACCATGTGATGAGATGAGGTTGGAGGGATGCTGAGGACCATCTTCTGCTAGGTGTCCTCTTCTCCCAGCTGGGATGAAGCTGTTCAGTGGAGAGAGTTATCTAACTTCATGTGAACAATGAGCGAGGGCTCCGAGGCTGTGGATTGCATTGTCTTATCGTAATTCCTAGTGCCTTCCTGACTTTCTAGGGTACAGCCCTTTGAAGTTTATGTTCCTCTTAGGAGCAAGTTTTTATTTATTTATTTATTTCATCTTTATTTTTGAACGTATTCCAGATGTCCCCACTTTTTTCCCCCATTGGTTCCTCCTCCCTTCTCCCACCCACCTCCTGCTTTCCCCAAACTATTGTCTGTATCCACTGGTTACGCATACATGCATATAAGTTCTTTGGTTTATCCCTTCCCACCCTCTACACCCCTTCCTTCTAAGGTTTGTCTGTCTGATACCTGCTTCTGTGTCTCTGGATCTATTTTGATCCACAGCTTATTTTGTTCATGATATTCCATAAATAAGTGAGATCATGTAGTACTTGTCTTTCTCTGACTGGCTTATTTCACTTAGCATACTACTCTCCAGGTCCTTCCATGCTGTCTCAAAGGGTAAGAGATCTTTTTTTCTTACAGCTGCATAGTATTCCATTGTGTATATGTACCACAGCCTTTTTATTCACTCATCACTGATGGGCACTTAGGCTGTTTCCAGATCTTTGCAATTATAAATAGTCCTGCTATGAATATAGGGGTTCATATATTCTTTCTGATTGGTCTTTCAGGCTTCTTAGGATATATTCCTAGAAGTGGGATCACTGGGTCAAATGGCAGTTCCACTTTTAATTTTTTGAGGAAATGCTACAGTGTTTCCCATAGTGGCTGCACCAGTCTGCATTCCCACCGGCAGTGTACTAGAGTCCCCTGTTCTCCACATCCTCACCAGCACCTGTAGTTTGATGATTTGTTGATAGCAGCCATTCTGGCAGGTGTGAGTATAATGTTGACTGTAGATCTTTCATATATGGCCTTTATTATGTTGAGATATGATCCCTCTGATCCCATTTTGCCAAGCATTTTAACCAGAAATGGGTGCTGGATTTTGTCAAATGTTTTTCAGCATCTATTGATATAATCATATGATTTTTATCATTTACTTTGTTTATGTGGTGTATCATATTTATTGATTGGTGAATATTGTACCAGCCTTGCATCCTTGGGATGAATCCCACTTAGTTGTGGTGAATAATTTTTTTTTTTTTATCCTCACCCGAGGACATTTTTCCATTTTTTGTTCAGATAGAGCGGGAGGGAGAGAGAGGAAGAAAGAGAGAGAGAGAAACATTGACGTGAAGGGACACATCGAGTGGCTGCCACCCACACGACCAACCAGGGCCGGGGACAAACTGCAAACAAGATACGTGCCCTTAGCGGGAACCGAACCCGGGTCTCTCTGTACCGCAGGCCGACGCTCCAACCGCTGAGCCAAACCGGCCAGGGCAATTGTGGTGAATAATTTTTTTAATGTATTGCTGGATTCAATTTGCTAATATTTTGTTGAGGATTTGGCATCTATGTTCATCACAGACATTGGCCTGTAGTTTCCTTTTTTTGTAGTGTCTTTATCTGGTTTTGGGTTTATGACTATGCTGGCCTCATAAAAAGAGTTTGGAAGTCTTCCTTCCTCTTGAATTTTTTAGAACAGTTTGAGGAGAATGGTTGTTATTTCTTCTGTGACTGTTCAGTAAAAATCCCCTGTGAAGCCATCCAGACCCGGGCTTTTGTTTGCTAGAGTTTATTGATTACAGCTTCAATTTCCTTAGTTGTTATTGGTCTGTTCAAGTTTTCTGACTCTTCCCAACTCAATTTTGAGAGACTGTGTGATTCTAGGAATTTGTTTATTTTGCCTAGTTGTCCAGTTTGTTGGTGTATAATTCTTCAGAGTATTTTCTAACAATCCTTTGTATTTCTGTGGTGTCTGTTGTTACTTCTCCTCTTTTATTTTTGTTTTTGTTTATTTGAGATCTCTCTCCTTGTTTCTTGGTGAGTCTGGCTAAGAATCCATCGATCTTGTTTATCTTTTCAAAGAACCAGCTCTTTGTTTCATTGATCTTTTGAATTGTTTTTTTAGTCTCTATGTCATTTATTTCCACTCTGACCTTTATTATTTTTTCTTTCTATTTTCTCTGGGTTTTTCTTTTTGGTCACTTTCTACTTTTTTAATTTGTAGGGTTAGATAGGCTATTAGAAATTTTTCTTGCTTCTTGAGGTAGGCCTGTAATGCTATGAACTTCCCTCTCAGGACTGCTTTTGCTTCATCCCATATATTTTGTATTTTTTTATGTTCATTTTCTCTGATTTCCAGGAAGTTTTTATTTCTTCCTTAATCTCCCTGGTAACCCATTGTTGTTTAATAACATGCTATTTAGCCTCCATGCATTTGAGTGTTTTTATTGTAAATGATTTCTAGTTTCATGCCATTATGATCTGAGAAGATGCTTGATATGATTTCTATCTTCTTTAACTTGTAGAGACTTAGTCTGTGTCCTAACATGTGGTCTATCTTTGAGAATGTCCTGTGTCCACTTAAGAAGTGTATTCTGCAGTTTGGGGGTGTAATTCTCTGTAAACAGCTATTAAATCCATCTATGTAGTGTGTCATTTAGATGGCAAAACTTACCATTGGAGAACTTCCACTTTGTTAAAAAAAAAAAAAAAAAAGCAGCATTGAGTTATCAACGTATTATTAACTACATGTATTATCTTATTTACTAGCTTCGTCAAGTAAGGTGTCTCTGAGCCCCAATTCTAAGAATAATAATATCACCCCCACCCAGTGGCAAGGAGAAGCAACGAGATCATGATTTGTTAATTATTTAAATAAATATATATGGTAAATAAATTGGAGGAAGAAAGAGATAATCATTTTTTAAATTGGGAAAAATATCTATACTTTGAATGGATGAGGCCATCCTCATCATAAGCGGTAATTTTAAATATATTAAGACCTAAACAAAGTTTTTAAAGCAAGTAATAGCAGCAGAATGTTTTGATTTTAAAAACCAGTGGAAATAACAGTGTACAATTACCCAAGTTGACCTACATATTATTAATCATCCACACAGAACTTTAGGTCTGTGTGTCAACAATCACATGTGGGTAGCCCCTAAGGAAAACCTAGGGTTTCCTTTACTTTAATGATGGGTCGTATATTTAGAATAATAATGACTGAGGAATGCAACATGTCATTTGGTCAGTTTTCTAAACTAGAGCTTCAGGAGTTTAGCGGAAAGAGAGAGAAAAGAAATGGAGGGTGGGGATTAGGGAGAGGAGGGAGGTCCTCCTTACGATGTGCATGTATTCATTAACAGTAGGGGACAACTTTATTTTCAGCGTTTTATTTTTTTTTCTTTAATTTTATTTGTTCCATCACCTGTTATTCCCTCTGTGCCTTCTACCACCTCCACCCATTCTCCTGCACCCCTGCAAACACCACAGTAGAGGGAAACTTTTATAGATAACTTTTAAGCAAAGAAAAGCCAAGTTGGTAAAAAAAAAAAAAAAAAAACGCATCAATTTCTATACAATGGTGATCTGCTATGTTACACTTCCTACATAACCTCCTTTAATCTCCCCATTATCTCTGTAAGGTGGGTACCAACTGACCCCGTTTCAATGATGAGTAAGCTGAGGCTCAAAGAAATGAAGTAATCTGTCTGCAACCCCACAGGTTTGGGCTTTGAACCCAGATTCTTGTCACTACTTATGTTTCTTAGGTTGGCATCATGTCATTGAATAAAATCTATAGAACTGAAAAAAAATCAACAGGTATTCAAGCCTGAGTTGGTGGTCGGTCTCCTCGTTACAAGTGGTGCTAAGGGGAACAGGCTCCGGTGGACATGCTATGGCATTCATGTTGTTGAAGTGGGATTTAGAGATTCTCTGGCCATTTTCCTTTCCTCTTCCTTCCCAGTTTGCCTTCTGAGTGCTACCGCTCCATTTCAGAGACTTCTCTTAATCGTGGAGCAGGAATGTTATTTACCCAAACAGGAAACTCAAAATTCTTTAAAATGTTTTCATTGACTTTACATTCCATCCTGGAAATCCCCACAGAAATCAAAACTGTGATCAGTGACCTGAGACTTGCCCAAACCACCTAGACAGAGCCTCACATAGATCGATGTCGTGAAGATCCAGGGAACGGGACTCTGCAATCTGTCATAATGTGTTTAATACTGGGTAATATAAGAAACTGATACTGTAAGAAACTGCCTTGAGATAATTTTTTTCGTGTTTATTTTAGCAACTTATGAAGTTGGAATTGAAGAAGTCCAAAAGGTATTGTTCCCTCTCTTCTTCACAACTTTCTAGCTAAAACAAGTGCACAGAGGTGGTTCCAAAGCAGTTTCTCTTAGGAGGGAGAAAAGGCGTTTGTTTTCGGTTTTCCTCTGGTTTCTGAGGCCCCAGCTCCAGCTGATGAGATTCTGAAGCCTGAGCCCGGTAACATCAGACACAGAAAACGTGTGACGGAATGGGAAAAGCTGATCCTAACTTGCCCCCACCCTTATCCACGGCGGCCAGCACCCACTGGCTTTTCCTAACTGTTTCTTCAGGGGGAAGAGTTCTTTGGTACAAGACGCATTTGTCTGTCCCGTGCTTTCGCGAGTGACCAAACCTTGAAGGCACATTCTCTGGGCTCCTGGTAGGCATGGTGCTAGGGGACTCCTTGGAGGCAGTGTAGCACCTTGTTAGCGCCCAAGCAGAATCACTGGCCTCAGTCCAGCTGCTGGCTGTGTAACCTTAAACCTCCATCTCCTCACCTGCAAAATAGAGATAACAGAAATACCCATGGCTGGGGCCACTGTGAAAATGAATACAAGGTAAATAGTTTATTTTTTATTTTATTTTTTTCCTTTATTGATTTTAGAGAGAGAGAAAGGAAGAGGGAGAAAGAGAAGAAAACATCAATGAGAGAGAACATCAATTGGCCGCCTCCGGCATGCCCTCCACTGGGGATCGCGCCCACAACTTGTGCATGTCTCCTGACCGGGAATCGAACCGGCGACCTCTTGGTGCAAGGGTCGACGCTCAACCACTGAGCCACACCAGCCAGTGCAAGGTAAATAGTTTAACAGGAAGTGCCCGGCACCTGGTCCGTGCGTTTTACCTCTCTGAGCTTCCATGTGTCTTCTGTAAAATGGTGTGTTCTCCACAAGGGCGGGAAGCATGTGTCCTGCGGTAGTAGATGCTCAGTACAGAAGGGGACCAATACTTGTGTCACTGAACTGCTGAAAGAACTAAGTCAGACAAAGGAGGTAAGCACCCAAGACGGCCTGGCACACAGTGGGCACTCACCTAGTGCTGTGACTGGGTCCGTCAAGGTTCTAGTCTTTTTTCACTGGGTACCGTTAGTCTAGATCAGCGGTTCTCAACCTTGGGTCGCCACTCCTTTGGGGGTCGAACGACCCTTTCACAGGGATCACCTAATACCATCAGAAAACACGTATTTCCGATGGTCTTAGGAACCGAGACACTGCTCCTCTATCCGTCTCCAGGCGGGTCCGCCCACATGCAGATACGCCCACACACAACATGAGGAGCTGTATTGAAGGGTCGCGGCATCAGGAAGGTTGAGAACCGCTGCTCTAGATCCTTGATCTTTCTGCTCCAGTTTTCTTATGCTTACTGGAAAGGATGGCTCATTTGTGGATGTGCTTGATAGCTAGAAAACTCTACATGATTATTATTCCTATTAACGAGCACAGAAACATTCTATGGCAAGTGAACTCCCCAAAGGACCACATTTTATCCCATGTAAAACAAAACAGCATGAAAGTATTTTTATTTTTTATTAAATCTTTTAGCCTTCAGTCATGTTTTATGTTCATCTCTGGTGGCTGGAGACGGATGTCACCCTTTCTTGACGACTGTATCTCAGGGGGCTGAGCGGGCACAGTCCACGTTCTTTAGGAGATGCTCCTGGGCCCCTGTGGGTGCTCAGCTCTGGTTGCCTTCACCACCGGTCTGCTGTCATTGTTTTCTGACAGTCGTCATTTCTTTCTACTCAATATCTCCGTGTGTATCGGTGAGTCTCGCGTGCTCAGGCGTGTGTGTACCAGGTCGGTGGTGTGCCAGGCACTGGTACCTACACGGCAGCACTTCAGCCTCACAGTGAGCAGGCTCACTGCTTCCACTGAGCTGAGAGGGCTCCATCGCCTGTAGATGATGTCGTGCAGAGCGAGACGAGGGCCGGCGGGCAGCTTCTTCCAAGGCTGCCTTTCGAGTTGCTGGAATGTACAGCAAATAAAGACCAGCGGTCCCCGAATGAAGGCTGTGGGAGCTCCTGAAGGGAGAGCGTCTGAGCTGCGAGGCCTGGACTGTGTGGCAGCATGTTGGATGCTGGGTAGTCTGTTTCCTTCAGGATCGTGGCCGGATTCCAAATGCCGAGTGGCTATGTTGTCATCACTGGGACACACTTTTAATGGAGCTGACCTTTTATCACAGGTGCATGATCAGTAAGGGAGAATTCCCAGCACGACCTGCACACTTGCCAGTGTGGCCACTGAAATACTGGATTGCTCAAATCTCACCAATTCATACTTCCTCCCATGACTTAAAAGTGTTCTAGGCTACAGATGCTTTCCTGGAAAGGTATGCAGAAAACTGTTTGTTTTTCTAAGTGAAATCATACGTTCCTTCTGGCACACACTGCAATTCAGAAATGCTTGTTTTCTTTGCGGATGGACCTTCAGCTCCACTGGCAACAGTTGGTGAAATTTTCCATTGTAAGTGTCTACATTTGCTGGGACTGAGGTCTCGCCCACCTCACCTTTTTGGTCTCTAATGGTCTGTAACCAAACAGAGAGGGTCGGTGTGTGAAAATGACCATTTTCCTCTTTCTTTTCAGCCTTGGAAGAGTTGTCTCCACCAAGAACTTAGGTGAGTTTTATCTTCAGAAGCAGCAGGGTTCGTCCAGTCACTGCCCCTCTGACGGCAGAGCTACGGTTCCCCGACGGGGCCGCTGGGATCCAGTGCCTGACCTGGGTCAGCACCCTGGGCCCGGCAAGGTACCTGGTGCAAGAAGGTGCTCGGGAATCCATTCCCTCTCACCTTGCTCCAGCCCAGGCTGCTCTCACTCAGCTAACACTTACCGAGCCCCCAGCATGTGTGAGTCACTTGTGAGCCACTGGGACTGTAGCAGTGACGGAAGTCTAGCCGCTACCCCCAGGGACTCCTGGATCAGAGGAAGTGTCACACGATCCAACAGGCATGTAACAATCACGGGAATCCCCAAGCCTTTAACATTTCCCAAAGGCACCGTGTTGCCTCGAGTCTCTGCCTTTGCCTGTTTAATTAACTCACCCCAACTTAATCATCTGGCAGACTCCTCCTGACCATCAAATGCCCCTCCCTCAAGAAGCCTTTCTCGATTCCCCTCCTCCGGGAGAGGTGAGCAGTCCCTTCTGTGCGGTTCCGCTGTGAGGTGCACGTGTTTGCACTAAGGTCACCGTGCACTGTTTGCGGGCATGCCTGTTCGTTCTCGCCCTCCTGCTCACCCTAGTCTGTCAGTTCCTCGTGGGCAGGGCCCATGTTTCCTTGTTCTTGGTATTCCTGGCACCGCTCACGGCTCTCTCTGGCCCAGCGCGGGGCGCTGGCCGGGAGCGGTGGTCTCACCTGCCTCTTCAGAGTCACTCCCCCCTGGAGTGATTTTTACTGCATTCGAATAAACGTGGTTGGTGAGCTCGGGAGGAGCAAGTATCAACATTTCTTGGCTGAGGTCAGAAGCACAGGTGCTGGGTTATGGGGAGAACCTTGCTTCAGCTGGGTGGGCTCCCTCTGTGCCTCTCCATGAGCTCCTGCCTGACTCGGTTCACGAGCCCCACGACCCCCTTTAGCACCTAGCACAGTGGGGACGCATGGCAGGCACATGGCAAATGGGCAATGATTCAGCTCGTTTATTGAGCTTTTACTCTGTTCAGACACTGCTCACTCCCAAGGTGCAAAAATGAATAGAATACGTAATCTCGCCTTTGTTCCAGATGGGAGTGAAGGCGGGCGGTTGGGGTGGGGTTACTTGGAGGGGATAGTGACCACGGAAATAGGGAATGACTGTATAACACTGTCACTGCTACAGAAGTTGTAACGCACAGAGGCGAGGCTCCAGGCATGTTTCCTTGAAGAGTGACAGCAAGGCTGAATCTTGAGCAACAGGTGGGACCTGGCCGGTGGAAGTGGCGGAGTGTGGGTCCCGGGCACGAGGAAGGTGTGAGGCAGAGCGTTGGACAGGGAGGCGGGACAGGAGCCCACTCGCAGTTTGTTCGTGCTTGAGCGTCGCGTGCGGCAGGAACAAAGCTAGGGGACAGCGAGGGCCGGACCCGGGGGCCTGAGCTCCTGACCGCTATTTAGACCAGCCGATTGCAGCCGGTGCGCCGCAAGAATGTCTGAAATATGCAACACTGACAATTCAGGGCACGGACCTCTTCTCCCTGTCAGGGTTCGGGAACCATTTTTCTGCCAAGGGCCATTTGGATATTTATAACATTATTCTCGGGCCACACAAAATTATCAACTTAAAAATTAGCCTGCGGTATTTGGTCAGACTGATTTGCTGAGGCGTGTGGTGTCAGCTGGTATTGATTTCGTGGGCCTTATGTGGCCTGCGGGCTGGATGTTCCCCACCCCTGATTGTCACAAAAAAGACAAAGCTTCCCTGGCCAGTTTGGCTCAATGGTTAGAGCATCGGCCTGTGGTCCAGAGAGACCCGGGTTTGGTTCTGGCTAAGGGCACATACCTGGGTTGCAGTTTGTCCCCAGCCCTGGTTAGGTCGTGCGGGTGGCAGCCACTTGATGTGTCCCTTTCACATCGATGTTTCTCTCTCTCTCTCTCCCTCCCACTCTATCTGAACAAAAAATGAAAAAAAAATTTCCTCAGGTGAGGATAAAAAAAAAAAAAGACAACAGCTAACACTATATAGCTGTCCAGTGTGAACGAATCAAAATTATACCTCTTTTATTTTTATTTTTTGATCAGGTTGGCAAAAAATATAATCCATTTTTTGGTGTGTCACAGAATTTTAGTAAAGTCTATGTGTGCTATGAGATGGAAAAGGTTGAAAATTGCTGCTTTAGACTGGCCCTATCTAATTGAAATATATGCAAGCCACAACTCATTTAAATTTATTCTACTAGCCATATTTTAAAAGGTGACAAAGTTTAAATTAATTTTAATAATATATTTTATTTACCCAGTATATTCAAAATATTATAATTTCAACATGTAATCATTATAAAAACTATTAAAGAGGTATTTGTATTCTTTTCTGCATACTAGGTCTTCACACTCCCAGTGTATTCTGCACTTACAGCTCAATTTGGATGAGACACGTTTCAGGTGTTTAACAGCCACAGGTGGACCAGGGCCCCTGTATTGGATGGCACAAATTTAGACATTATGCTATAGGTCAGGGAGCCCCACGAAAGAGTTTCAAAACAGGGATTCTGTGTCCTCTCCTCCATAAGATCAGTCCTGTACGTCACGGTATTAAATCCAACTTGAGAGTTATTTATGGAGGTCCAGCTGCGTGGACAGTCCTGGCCTGGTCCGGGGGATAGGAAGACGGACTGCAGAGGACATGTACATCAACAAGCAGGTACATGCTTTAGAGAAAACAGCAGCAGTCATGATGGGAACAAGAGAAGAAGTGCTTTGATGAAGAAGAGGACACACAGTTATTAAGGGTCCGTGACCTACCATAGACAATGCAAGGCTTTCCACATTTTCATAGCTCCTCATTCTCATGGCAATTAGCGTTGTGACCTTCCACGTATAGATGAGGTTTGCTTTCTAGGAAGGTTCATCTCAGACGTTTCGAAAGAGGGACAGCAGGGATTGGAATTCAGCCCTCACGTCACAGCCCCGCGTTCATCGTAGAAAACCAATAAATGGCCTTCTTGGTGGACATGCATGCTCAGTAATTAGATTTATCAATAAATGCCTTAAAATGCTTCCCGTTGTCTTATAGAATAGCCCCCTTTCCTGGTGTTTCTCCCTCCTTCATGCCTGCCTCTTCTTGAACTGGAGGGCTCTTCCTCTGCCTCCATCAAACGTGGTTGTAGAACTATCGAGTCCACGGCAGTGCTGGAGCCGGAGCTTCTCACATGGACGCTGCTGCTCCCCAGCACCGTGCCCTGGGTGCTGCTCCTCACTGCTCTCCCCCCCGCCCCTCCCTCCTCGCTCCTCTGCCGGGCCAAAGTGCCGGGAGGGAGCAGGGGGCTGTGGTGGAGAAGAGCAGGGGACAGATCACGTGGGACTTAAGTTCCAGCCTACAGGCAATGAGGAGTTATAGGGGACTTCGAGCAGGAATTCACTCTGGCGTTAACTGGGACAGGCAGAAACTCAGAGAAACTGTTTATGGTTGACCTTGGTCCCCCTCATCTTTAAAAACAGATGAAGAGCCCTGGCCAGTTTGGCTCAGTGGTTAGAGCGTCGGCCTGCGGTCCGGAGAGACCCGGGTTCGGTTCCCGCTAAGGGCATGTACCTCGGTTGCAGTTTGTCCCCGGCCCTGGTTGGTCGTGCGGGTGGCAGCCACTCAATGTGTCCCTTCACGTCAATGTTTCTCTCTCTCTCTGTTCCTCTCTCTCCCTCCCGCTCTATCTGAACAAAAAATGGAAAAATATCCTCGGGTGAGGATAAAAAAATAAAATAAAATAAAATAAAATAAATAAATAAAAACAGATGAAGAGGGATTCACGTCTGTTTGAATTCATTATCCCCATTCATGTCCTTTAGGATTAAGTGCTACACTGTCATCCCGACACTCTAAACTTCACTCTTTCCTTCACATCGCAGCCCTAAATATGAAGATAAAAAAATGAAGAACAGAGAGCCACGTGAACTGGAACTTCAAAAAACAGAAAAGGATCTACATGCAGACCATCCTTTCAAGGTATCCGCATTCTAGGTCCAGTCCAGCGTGTAACGGGATCCGTTCATGGGGTGACTTTTAGAGGGGAGACATGCAGCTCTCAGAGAGACAAAGTCAGAATCCGCGGTGGGTTGTGTCAGGTTCACATCTCACCGAAGATGTGAACCTGTCGATACGCAGAGCGGTAGCCTCAGGTCTCCCAGGCCGTAGCACGAGGCAGGGCCGGGACCAGGGTGAGGTCAGCAAGTCACCCAGTGGGCAGATACAAAGAGACGTTCAGTGCCGGCCCCGCACTTGCAGGAGTCTGGAGGGAAGGTTCTGTGCTCTGAAGCCCTGCTCAGACGACTGACTTTGTCTCAGCTCCGTCAACTCATCTGTAAAATGAGAAAATAATCCCACCCAAGTACCAGCCCATTCCTGTCCTCAATCATGATGATAAAAGGAAATAATGTACATGAAGTGCCTTGTAAGGCATAAGCTACCATAAAAACAAAATGTATTATTGTTGCCTATTAATTAATTGATTGATTATTTGATATTATTTATTGATAGTAAATACTGTATATGTGTGTGTATTGATATCCAGTTGAACTGTTCCCTCCAAAGTGACTGGAAGCTTAAACAGTAGATTCTACCAGGGCTACTACCAGTGCTTAAAACCTTCTAGATACCTGTATAATGTCTACCTGTGTAGATACCTTATAATATCAAATTGTTCCCGTTTCACTGCAGGGACTGGGGAAATCAAGGTACGTGTTGGTGGTGCTAGCTTAAACTGGTGTGTTGGACCCAGGGCCAGGCTGGACCAGGTTAGGTATTTACAGGGTATCACAGAGCAGCATAATTCCGAGAAGTGAGTCACCAATTATGAAAGACAGGCACCAGAGCCAGGGAAGGAGCCTCGCGTGTCAAGGTCAGAGGGCAGGGGCAAGGCCATAAATGAGTGATGAGGCCAGAGGTCAGGAAGGGGCTAATCAGGAGCAGAGGAGAAAGGCATAGAGGAGCATGAGGAAGGGGGATTGACCACGCAAGAGCTACAGCAGGACGTGTTCCTTTTCAGCGCCAGCCTAGGACAAGAACTAGGTATGGGATCAGGCTACCACCCAAGGGACAGAGTCCTACTTTCACAGGATGGATTTGAGTTTTGGATATCGTTAGAAGTTATTTGGAATGTGTTGGACAAATACGGAGGGTGATTTAGCTGGGCTGTGCTCTTTGGGGTCAAATGCACATTGTAAGACAGTAGTTGCATAACTCACTGTGATTCAAACGGACTCTAGGGGACAGTCCCAAGGAGGGCCCTGTGAGAATCTACGCAATGCTTTATTATGGGCTACACTGCAGGAAGGCAGGCACCATCCTTGTACAAAACATTGCCTTCATTCCTTTCTTGTCACTTTCCCATTTAAAACACTCATTCTCAGCTGTGTGGCTAAAGAGAATGCCCTTCCTCTTACTCTCCTCTTAGTTTGCTTAGATCCCACCAGGACCTCCACAAACTCCATGCCTCGTGTCTACTGATTACTTTAGCTTTTCCCAAGGACTTTCAAATGTATTGTCGTAGTTGACCCTTATGTCCACTTGTGCCCAGAAGGACGGGGATCCCCTCTCCCGTGTCCTCTGATCACTGGAAAACACTTAGATAGCCAGAAATGTCCTGATTCTTTTCTGTCTCCAGTGTCTCTGCCTGTCCATCTATCCAGGTCATTCTGGAATGAATCGGAGCAGGTTTCATTCCAGCCTGGCTCCCTGTAGCTAGGAGATAGAGCCCACACTCTGTGCCTCGGATGCAAGACCCTTCACTGCTCAGCCCCATTCCATCTTGTCTTTCTGGTCTCATTTCCAGTTCTTCCTCCCCTGTCCTGCCCCCCTGGACCTTCAACACTTCCCTCGTCAGTAGTCTCTATTCTACACCCATGAGGACACCAACACTTCAAATACCCCATGCCTCTGCCCAGGCTCATTTATCTGCCAGGTATTTCTTTAACCCCTCATCAATCTCTTACTTACATTTTAAAACACAATTTAATAAAACCTGCCTTTGACATCTTCCCCAACCCAGTCTCTTAGCCAAGAGATTCAGCCTCCTTCTCCTCCTCCCTGTTCCCCTCTCCGTGAGCAGTACCGTTGTAAAACCCACCACATTACACCTTAATTATTTGCAAGGGTTGTCTCCATTCATATAAGCCCCCGTGTTCATTGCATCTCTCTATCTCCAGAGCTTAGCATGTCCCACCTCCAGTAAGTGTTTAAGAAACACTGGGAAAAGTTGCAGAGGAACAAAGAGTGGTGGATGGAAAGAGGGAATGTCAGGCACAAGGAATCAAGCATCCCGTAGTGGTCAAGCGCACAGGGGTCTGAGGTCACGTCCTGCCTTGGCATATTACTAGCTGTGTGACAGAGGCCAGTCATTTAACCTTCTAAACTCTTTATCCAGAGGACTAAGGATATTTCCCTAATGGGGTGTCATGAAGATGAAGTGAAGTTTAGTGTATAAAGAGCCTGCCCGAGAGCCGGTGTTCCATTCTATCCTGATCGCCTCCTGCTGACCCTCTACACCCAGCCTTCACTGGCCACGCAGAGGTGAACAAAAGATGCAGTATGAGTCCTCATGAAACTTAGAGTCTAATAAGGCAGCGTTAAATGAAATAATAAATCAGTGCTGTTTGTGAGGAATGAATAAAGAACAGCCCGACTGAGCAATGAACTAAACAGGTGAGTCAAAGCCCTGCAGTCCACTCCCTGTTTCATGTGTTTAGGTGGGTTCCTACGAAGGGACACCTGGAAAAGTCCCAATGACCAAAGTCCACAGACATGTGGAGAGGACACCACCCAGAAAACCGGATGCTGTGATTGACAGGATCCAGACGAAGACCTGCCTCAAGGACCCAAAGCTGACCAGGCACTTCCAAGGTCAATGTAAGTTGTGTTTCTTCCTGGTTCTTTTGACCATTATGAAGTTATTTTACAGCCGTGCATTGCCAAGATCTTAACTTATTTTATAAATATTTATTAAACGTCTATTATGTACCAAATAACTTGCCCTAGTGAGGCAGCTGAGCAATAGCAGAGAGAACACTGGTTCTAGAAGCAGAAGACCTGAGTTTGATCCAGAGTCTGATACTTATTAGCCACGTGGTAAGTAACTTCATATTCCTGCAGCTTGATTTCATTACTTATAAATAGGGATCATGAGATGGGCCTACAGGCGTGTTGTGAAGACTCAATTGGAAGGTATGTCACATAATAGGGATTCAGCAAATAGTTCTCCCTTCTCTTTAATCTACCAGATCCTATTGGGTTTTTGTCTTTGTTTTTGTTTTTGTTTTGTAGGCCCAGGTAACGAACACACTGATGATATAGTAGGATTATCATCACTTGACTTTATTTAGGTTAAATTTTACCTTTATGTCAGTCAAGACACTTGATTGCAAGTAACAGTGACCAAATCATACTGTCATAAGCAAAATAAAGAAAAGGCACTTGCCTAGCCGGAGAGTCTGGGCATGGCGGGACCCAGGGACACCAGCAACATTATGAGGACTCAGTGTTACTTGCTCTGCTCCTGCCTCTGCTCCCCTCTGGGTCACTCCGTTTTTAGATGAATTCTACCCTTGTGGAGGCATCTTGAGGTGACAGGCTCAGACCCCTATTCTCTTAGGGACCCCAGAGGAAAACTAGAAATTGTTATAGTCTCAACAGTTATAAGACAAGGCCCAGGTCTGAGCCCTACTGGTTCTGCTTGGGCCACATGTCGTCCCTGAGCCAGTCTTTATAAATGGGGGATACGATGCTCCAGTTGACCCAGCCTGGGTCATAAACTCACCCCTGTTATATAGCAAAACTACGTAACACCAGATTGAAAGATTTCCCAAGGAAAATAAGAGAGCTATTATCAGAAAAGAAAAAGAAAAAGTAGACACTGGGTAGACAAGAAAAGAGATGTTCACTCCAGCCCAGTGAGCCATAGCAAAGCACTGACATTCCATCAAATGTGAGGGTCAGAGCTACAAGAAGAATGGATTTGTAGTGATCATAGATGGACTCCAGATCCCCCAGGCTAGCTGGCTCGTCCCCGCCACACGCCTTCCCTGCATACCCGATGCTCTACTCTCAGCTCACTGACTATGGCATGTGCTTTAATGCTCCTGTAATTTTGCTTGATCTGTGTCCTCTGTCTGAAATGCCTTTCTACTCATTCTCTACCCGCTGATGTCCCATTTACCCTTGCAGATCTATTTCAAAAGTCACCTCTGCGGCCTCACTTACCTCAGTCCATCCTCCTCTTTGCCACTCTCCAGGGACCACAATTCCCCACACCTGTTTCCAAGACACTTGACTAAATGACCACGTGTCCATGTTAGGCTTTAGGGTTGAGCATTTCTGGGACCCAGGACCACTATATACGAATCCTGTGACCTTGGAAATTTTACTTTCCTGTGCAAATGAGAATGCTTCTACTTATTTCCCGTGCTGTTTGTCACTGCATATAAAGTGTCTGGTTCCTATGCTAAATACCTGTTCTCTTCATTTATTTTCATTTCTAGAAAACCATAGCATGCCTGACATTATAATTCCTCGTGTACATGTGTCTCCCATGCCATACTGTGAGCATCTTGAGATCAGAGACCATCTGGTGTTTTCCCGTGTCTCTGTACCCTGGCACACTCATGCTGCCCCACAGAACTCTGATGAGTGAGGGAGTGAAAGAATAAATAAATCAGACGTTACCTTCTGACAATACAGTAGATGAGAGAGTCTAATTATACTGATGGAAACAAGTGAAGAATAAATTTTTTGAAAAAAAATTAGGGAAGTATCATAGAACTGCTACAAAAAGAAAGCATCTACATAGCACCCGTAGTAGCCAGGAACCCTGGGAAGTGAATGAGCCCAAAGCTACTTTTGCCCTGAGGGTTTCACTGAGCTCAGAATCCCCTGCGCTCCTATTTTGACTGCGTGGCAAGCAGACTACAGGGCTATATCCCCGGGCCTGCCCAGAGTGAGTTTATAATAGGAGACTCCTGTATAAAGTTGGGACCCCAAAGGATTACATCCACACTTTAAGAATAAGCAAGATGGGGCCTATAGTTAACATTACTGTGTTGTGTACTTATAAATTTGTTATGATGGTAGTTCTCATGTGTTCTTACCACAATAGAAGAATTTTTAATTAAAAAAAAAAAAAGACATAGGGGTGGGGAGACATTTCTGATGAGGTGAATGAGAAAGCACAGAGGTAGCATTAATTACAAAATCATGGCATAAGATGAGAAATTGATAGAATTAATTATCCATTAATTAATGGGGCAGTGGAAGAGAGGAAAATAAGTTGAAGTGGATAAAAGAATTAAAGGAGAGCCCTGAATATGGGCTGAAAGCCATTTTCGTACAATTATGTAATGTCAGGGAGCATCACTGAGCAGCTGGGGTTATGCCATGATGAAAACAGGCTGAAGAAGATTATTCTGAGTACTCCATACATACTGCTAAAGCACAAAGGGAGATGCTGGACCTATGAATATGTTTTTGCAATACTTATGATCAGTAGCACAAAATGCTTATTTGAGGAGAGTGGGTATGAAACAGAAAAGTTTAAGAAGAAAAATACATGCGTTTTTTAATACTCCTAATCAAGTAGGCCTTTTAAAAAAAATTTATATGCTTTGATATTTTTAGAGAGGAAGAGAGAGACAGAAACATCCTTGTGAGAGAGAAACATCAATCGACTGTCTCCTGCACACCCCCTACTGTGGATCAAACCAGCAACTGGGGCTTGTGCCCTGACGGAATCAATCTGGGACCTCTGAGTCTGTTGCATGACATTTAATCCACTGAGCCACACTGGCAGGGCCAAGTAGGCCTCTTTTGATAAAATAGAATAAAAGTATTGCTCCTTTGATTGGAAAAAAAAGAATTAGCAAACATAAACTCCATTGGGCAGGAGCAAATTTGCCCATTTTGACCCTTATGATAAACCAGTTATCATGAGCTAATCCTCATGTGCACCTGCAGTTCAAATCCACACTATCTGTGTGGTCCAAAAGAAACCCAATTGAATCCGAAGTAGTATCAGCTTGGTAGCTCTCCCAGACAATTGATAAAAGCAAACTTAAATTCTCTGTGATGAAATTCTATCTTTACCCCAGTTTTCAAGTAATTCCCACAAAATAATTTTTTTTAAATTAACAGTTCATAGACAAAAACAAAACAAAAAACTAAACACACAAGGAAATGAGTCTCAGTGAGTAAAAACCAGCAGAACAACAGATACCAACCTGCAAGATATTACAGATATTAGGATCATAAGACACAAGACATAAGATAACTATATTTATTGTTTCTAAAATAAAAGAATAAACAGATTTTAAGAAGATAAAAAATAATTCATAAGTTAATATAGAAATGCAGTGAATGAATTGCACACCAGATTAGACATGGTTGAAGAGGAAATCAGTTAACTAGAAAATAATTCTAGAGAAATTATCCAAAATTCTTTACACAGGGGAAATGATTGAAAAACAATGAAAAAGAGGATAAGAGTCATGGGGGACAGAATAAGAATCTTAAAATAATCAAATCAGAGTTTTATAAAGGGACGCTAATAAGTATGGGCAAGAGGAAATAATGAAAGATAAAAGAGACAATGTCTGATCATTTCCAGAATTGTTGAAAGATACCAGTTTGCAGATCTATGAACACTAAAGTTCTCAAGCAGGAAAAATAAAAGAAATCCACATCTAGTCATATCTTAGAGAAACTGAAGAATAAGAGAATATCTTAAAATACCTTAATAGCAGACAAAGGGAAAAGGCCAAACACCTATAAAGAAACCAGAAGATGACTGTTGAATTCTCAAAAGCAAGAGTATGTAACTAGAATACAGTACTGCTGAAAGATTTTAAATGGCTACCCCAAATTTTATAATTAGTGAAAATGCCTGTCAAAATGAAGGGAAAAAATCAGGTATTTTTATACAAATAAACACTGAGATATTTTAGTGACCAAACAAAACTTTCTAAAGGAAATTCTAAAGTATCTACTTCAGACAGAAGAAAAATAATTCCACATAGAGAATTCTGGATGGAAAAAAAAAAAAAAAAGCTGAGCAAAAGTATTAACCAAATAAAACAATATTAGTGCCAATGTTGACATCAATAGCACATACATTGGGAAAGGAATTAAAGTTGAAGCCTTCTAAGGTTTTTGATTGAGAATAACAATATTAATTCACTTTAGCCTTAGAAGAGTTGGAATAGCTAGGATATAGTCATCAAATATAATAATTAGCCCTGGCTGGTTTGGCTCAAAAAGTAGAGCATTGGCCTGCAGACCAGAAGGTCATGGGCTCGATTCCTGGTCAAGAGCACGTACCTGGGTTGCAGGTTAGATCCCCAGCCCTGGTCAGGGTCATGCAGAAGACAAGCAATAGATGTGTCTCTCTCACATTAATGTTTCTCTCTCCCTCCCTCCCCTTCCTTTCACTCTCTCTAAAACAATCAATGGAAAAATATCCTCAGTGAGAATAAACAACAAATATATATGTACACACACACACACACACACATACACACACACACACACACACACACACACAAACAATCAGAGTAAAAGGCATGGTACAGAGTAGATGATATTTGATTTAGGACAAAGGATTAACTCAAAGGACTCATATATAAAATATATATATGAGTTCCATAAACACCCTTGAATTCATAAAATATAAAATGAAAATATTTTACACTTCTATAAATGTCCTGTGTCCACGATGTATGAAATAGAAATCAATCAGAAAAGAAACTTAGAGAAATTCGGAAATATTTGAACAGGCACCCCACTAAAGAGGTCACCCAGAAGACAGGTGCACTATGTAAAGCTGTTCGCGTCCCAGGGGAGGCAGAGGGAACCTGCAGTGCAATAGCACTAAACGCCCACCAAAATGGCTAAAATTATAAAAAAAAAATTAAAAAAAACACTAAATATATCAAGTGTTAGTGAAGTTATGGAACAATCTGAACTCTTCCCCACTGCTGGGGTTGCACACTGGGATAATCACGTTGGACGCTCTTCAGCAGTGTCTGTTAAAGCCCAACATGGGCATATCCTAAGACCTAGCAATTCCGTGCCTATTCTTACAGCCCAGAGACATGCATACTTCGGTTTACCAGGACATAGCAACATGTTCTTAGGAGAACTGGTGCATAATAGCCTTAAAATGCAAACTGTCTAAGTGTGCATCAAAAGTAGAATGGAAAATAAGTTATAGTATATTCACACAATAGAATAGTTATAGAAATGCACAAATTACAACTATACCCAACAATATAGATGAATCTCACAACCATAATGTTGAATGAAAGGTGATACACCAAAGAGGGCATTCTAAATGATTCCTTTTAGACAAAGTTTACAAATATGCAGAATTTACCTGGGATATTATAAATTAAGAGTAGCTCCCTTGCGGGAGGGAATAGAGACTGGAAGAGAGGCCAGAGGGTGCTCCGGGACACTGGCAGTGATATGTTTTCTTTCTTTCTTTCTTTCTTTCTTTCTTTCTTTCTTTCTTTCTTTCTTTCTTTCTTTCTTTCTTTTACAATTTTTATTAATTTATTTTTGTTACAGATGTTTCTGCTTTTTTCCCCACTGACACCCTCGTCCCAGTCCCTCTCCCCCGATGTGTTTCCTGATCTCTCTGCTTAGCATATGAATATATTCAGTTTGGGGAAATTTGTTGAGCTCATGATTTCTACCCTTTCTAGTATATTGTACTTTAATTAAATTTAAAAATATAGTAGGGTAACTGTTAAAAGATAGGCATAGCACACATACCTTCCAAAAAAAAAAAAAAGAACAGAATAAAGAAAAGAGGAAAATAAGGGAAAAAAATAGAACAAATAAAAGGTATATAGCCCTGGCTGGTTTGGCTCAGCGGTTAGAGCATCGGCCTGTGGATCAAAGAGTCCCGGGTTCGGTTCCCACTAAGAGCATGTACCTTTGTTGCAGTTTATCCCGGCCCCACTTGGGGTCGTGTGGGTGGCAGCCACTCGATGTGTCTCTCTCATGTCAATGTTTCTCTCTCTCTCTTCCTCTCTCTCTCCCTCCCACTCTATCTGAAGATAAATGCAAAAATGTCCTCGGGTGAGGATAAAGAAAAAAGGTATAAGATAGTAGATATAAATTTTAAAATATCAGTAAACAATATAAGTTTAATACACAAAACTCTCTTGTTAGAAGATACATGCATTGAAAGCATTCATTATTAAAAAAATATTTAGTACCTTTTCTGTGCCGGCGCTGTCCCGGCTGCTGTGTACAACACAGAACAGAGCAAAACACCCATCCGCATGGCAGTCACATTCCCATCAGAGGAGACAGATAATAAATATATAAACAATAAGATAGCCACTGTGTGGAGTGGTAGTAAATATGATGGAGGAAAAAATAAAGCAAGGAAAGAAAATTAGGGAGGCTGGTGCAGGTGTTAGAAGTTGCATGTTTAAGGTGCTCATGAATGACTTGAGGACCTTAAATTGATGAGGGAAGGAGCCATATGTATAAGAAGAATGTTCTGGTGAGGGGCAAAGAAGTGGAACCTGCTGAGGCAGGAACCTGCTAGCTGTGTTGGTGGGACAGCTCGGAGGCCAGTGTGACCAGAGCAGTGGCTGAAGGCGAGTGGCTGGAGATAAGGTCAGAGGTAACAAGGGGCAGGCAGTGTAGGGTCTTTTCTAGGCCATTGCAAGAACTTTGGCATTTACACTAAATGAGATTTTAAAAACCAGTGAAAGGTTTTGAGCACAAGGTTGGGATGATCTTACTTGTATTTTAGAGAATCATCCTGGCTGCTGTCTTGAAAACAGAATGTAGGATGAATCAGGGGACCTGTTAGGGGTGTTTTGCAGTAATTTAGCTGAGAGGTGATGGTAGCTTCGAGGAGGGCACCGTAGTCCAGTTGTTTGGATTCCGAATGTGATGTGAAAGTTGAGCTGGAGACTGGCAGTGGGATATGAGAGAGAAAGGAGGCAAGGATGTCCTCATGGGTTTGGACCTGAACAACTGAAAGGATGGAGTTGCTCCTTTTTACTGAGTAGGGGCAGATTTCAGGCCGAGCAGATTTGCAGAGAGAAATCGTGAGTTTGGTTTGGAAAGTAATACGCTGAGACAAGCAAATGGAAATGGTGTCTCTAGATGGAGTATCTAGAATTCATCAGCGATGTCTAGGTTAGAGCTATAAATTGGGGAGTTGTATGTGCTTTTAAAATGAAGTCACAAATATTTACATTTGCCGCTGCCAAAAGGAAGGATTAAAAAAGAAAGAAAAAAAAAATGTCCCAGACTAAAAATTAAGCAACTCTGTATTCAGCATCTTTGTTTTGCTTTGGAGAATTTCACTGATAAGTCCTTAAGCAGCAGCAGAACCTTGTGCCTCTGGGAACTGACCTTCAATGAGACAGTTTGTGCCAATTGACTTCTTGTCAGAGGATAAAGTCTTGGCACTTGGTTCATTTAATTAACTGACAACTCAATTTGCTTATTGTTTATTTTGCAGATGTATTACCACTTATTTCTGATTAATTGTTCATGTCTGAAAACGGTTCTGAATCACCCGTGCTCTATTAACCTATGCCGACTGATAAAAAGGTGGTAGTTTTATGGTTATGACAACATTACAAGCTCTGTGGGATAAACCAGAACCTGCATTCACCAGACTAGCAAACAACCCCCCACATTTTCCCACCTGGCAAACCATCTTCTGGTTGATTCCAACATTAATGAGTATTAAATGTTAACCTGTATTTAATCAACTTGTCTAAGAAATTTTACTTTCAAAACAATGGCCAGCACTGCATAAGCTGGGTTAGGTGCAGGGAGAAGCCCCAGGGATGTACCAGGAGGACCTCGGCACTTGAGGTCAGGGATTAGAGGAAGAACCATCAAAGAAGAGGGAGGAGCTGCTGGTTCACTAGGGAACTAGCCCTCTTCATACGATGCGTTAATCCTTGCCACAGTCACGGAAGAGTGGGTCTTATTAACCATTGTCTCAACTTCAGAATCAGAGCCGAGGCTCTGCAAGGGGAGGTGGTTTGCCCAAGGATCGTACAGACCAAGATCATAAAGCGGTGTGAGCATATGTCATCTGCCTTCTCCCGTTCTTGCCTCCATTGCCAGCGGGGTGTGAGAGTGGATTTACGACAGCGCGGGTTCTTCAGAGGGTTTCTCTGTTTCCTTCCAGGTGGGGATGTGGAGGCCTTGCAGGTGACTAAAAGAATACCTGGCCCAAGGACCTTTAAACCAAGTGAGATCTATGATGACGTTGAGTGCCCTGGGAGGAAGGAGTAAGTACATCCCAGCCCCTCAGCAGGGTCCTGAGACTCTACAGGTGCAATGGGACAGATCATGGTCTGTTTCTTTTCTCCCCTCAGATTGAAGTGGGACTTCTCCTCTAACTCCTTTGCCTCGGACAGTGGTGAGTACAGGAAGACATTTCATGATCAATTATCTTCTATTTATACATATTTAAATAGTGCCAACTGGGTGGGTGATAGCGAGCTCAGGGAAGCGGCCTGAGGTTCGTGTGAATCAGTGCACTTGGAATGAAGGTGAAGATGCGGGTGAAGGGGCTCCTGGGCCAACAAGCAACTGGGCGGTGACATGCTTCCTTCCTGATCCCTTCCCAGTGGAAGTCTGATCATAGGAACGTTGTTACGGGAAGCACTCTCGTGGCTTCCCAGTGCGTGTATGATCCACCTAAACGTGTTTGAAGCCTGGTGGTTGGTGTCCTCCTGCTTCTGCAGCCTGTGCGCCCGCTCTGCACCCGGTCTCTCTCCAAGGTCCACTCATGCTGACGTTTCAGCTCCTGCTGCAGGGTGTTTGCACAGGCTCCTCCCTCTTTCTGGAATGTTTTTTCCTCCCCATACCCCTGTGCCACAGTGACTCTTAACCTTTCTTCTGATCTCATTTCAATCATGACTCCACCAGGGAACATTCTCCTTGGTGCACACTCTCAACGTAACATGACTCTTTCTCGTAGCACTTGTCAGTTATCATTTCATATATTCTGATTCTTTGATCAATGTCTGTCTTCCCTCCTAGATGGTTGGTTACCTTCTTTATGCTTACCATTTTCCTTAGCACTTAGCATAATGCCAGGTATATGGGGTTTTTTTTCTTCAAAATTTGTGGTTCTTCCTTTATTGATTTTACAGAGAGAGGAGGGGAGAGGGAGAGATAGAAACATCAATGAGAGAGAAAATCAATTGGCTGCCTCTTGCATGCCCCCCACCTGGGCATGTGCCCTGACCAGGAATCAAACTGGTAACCATTTGGTGCATGGGTCAACGCTCAACCACTGAGCCACACCAGCTGCACCATGTTATATATTTTTTAAATATCTGTTGAACAAATGAGTGAAAAAAATGATGAAAGAGGGATCATCAAATGCTACTCTGGTTTTTGTCCTTAGAATGTCCGAATTTTAGATGGAGAAACCATCCTAGGGATCATTAAACATAGTGCCCTCCTTTTAAAAGGGAAGGGGAGACACAGAGAAGTCTCTCCCAAACTCGCCATGGGCAAGTCAAGTTCGGACGCACGAGCCCTCCGCCGTCAGGGAGGACTCGGAGTCTAGCGCGATTATTAAGCTTACTTGTTGGGCTTGGCCAAAGCCATGCTGCAAAGAGAAAGATTATTCAAGATATATTAATTCTCCATTACTTCCCCGGAATTCAACACAATGTCTGATGTTTAGTAGACTCTGATTGTATAAATTAAATATGCAAAAGGGGAGGGTAGAAAGAAGGAATGATCAACCAACTTTCACTGACTCACGTCACCCTTGGACTCAGGGATGGAGACAAATATTAGTTTTCATTTATACATACTACTTTTATAGAGGTTTAATTCTTTTTACCATATGCTTATAAAATATGTGCATGCTTCAATAAAAACTGTTTAACAAACAAAAGATCGAAGCACTCTAGCATCTAATAGGTATTCAATAATTTTTTGTTAAATGTGAATCTGAAGTATTATCATTATAATGATTGAATTTCTTTTTTAATTTAAGAAGAAAATAGTAAAGAAATGTATGAAGATGTATACAAAGCAAAGAGCAGCGGCACAGAGACAGAGTGAGTTTCTCTCTTTCTTGGCTTCCTGCTAATGGTATTTCCTGTCAGTCTAGGAAGATCCCTTTAAGAAGTTCCTCCCTTCCCTGCCCCGCCCCATTTTAGCGAGGATTTGCATAGGGATGGAGGTAAGCGATTGTGGGCTACCTCCTGGTCAGCAGAACACCTGTAACCATGTACGGTCCCATGGTATACATTTCAAATGCCACTGCTTTCTCTTTTGAGGAAATGTGCATCTCTCAGAGTAGAAGCCTTTGACAGTGTGTTAGAAAACAAGTGAGAAAGAAGTGAACGTCAACAAAACCAGCTCCAACTCTGCAGTACTTTCCCAGGAAGAAAGCAGTGGTTATCAAGACCAACATCTGCTCAAGTGGGCATCATTTGCCAAGGGCATTATTGGGGCACGTTGTGGAAAGGAAAGCAGCAACGGTCAAAAGGAAGAAGTTTGAGGGTTGGAGGAAAAAGAGAGGATCCGTGCTGGGTGGGGAAATGAGAGCCCCATTCCCTCGCCTTACCCCCCAAAACGCCCGAGGGCATGTTTGAAAAAACTTTCTTCATCCGCTGGATAGTCCAGGCCCCACCATTGCTGTATTATATCATTCAGTAAATTACAAGTCAGTAATGTGAATTGTCGGAGCCAAGGGATTCCTAGAATTTATTTCTAGTATAGTTTGAAAACTATGCTTCCCGGACTCATCTTCTCTAAAAGGAAGACTTTGCTCCATAAACTGCAGAATAGAGGCCATTTGGTGTAAATGCACGTTTGTATTGAAATATCATACTTCCCTTCGTGGCTAACTGGTTTGTGCTACTGCATATTGGCATCACAACAAAGAGCAGAAGTTGATAAGGCATTTTCCTGCCCTTCCCGGGTGGAGCGTCCTGGAAATGACGCCAAAGCCTCTGCCCCTGTGACCACACCAGCCTCCCATTTCTCGCACTCTCGCAAACGCTCTTTCTGGCTTCTGATTCCTCTTAGTTTTGATGGAAAAGCACTTAAGAAACTGCAGAGATTCTTCAAGAAAGAAAAGGATAGATTGAAGATGACGAAAACCAAGTTGAAGGAAAATTTAAGGTAAAAAGCCCCCTCTGATCTCTCTTTCCTGGAGAGGAATGGCAGTGCCGGCCTGGCAGTTGCCCAGCCTGAGGGTCTCCGTCTGGGTCTCAGACACAGCAGAGGGGATATCAGAAGGTAGAACCAGAGGCCCCGGTTATCACCTACCACCTTCTTGCCAATCTTCCAGGGAACCACACGCACAGACGCTAATGAAAAAAAAGAACAAAGTCCCTTTAGGAAAAGTTGATGAGAAAATGTTGTGAACAAGGGCAGAGAGAACGTCTTTAGCAAAGTCCAGAAAGGAAGCTGACCTCATCATCCTTGGCATCTATCATTGCTGTTGTCACTTGGCACTGTGTTATTAATTACAGCCCTTTATGCTTCCATATTCCAACAAGTTCCAGTGGCTTTTGTCTACACTTGGTATTCCAATCTGCCTCTCTCGAGAAAGGCAGGTGTGGAGAGGGGCGAGGAACTCTTCAGCTGAACGGTCCGTGTATCTCAGAGTCTTAGGCTTGGAAAGGACCCTCCAAGACCACCAGGCTAATTGCCAATGTTTGGGACCGTTACGGTTTCTCTGGCAATAGGAAGAGTTGGGGGTCTAGAGTCTAGATTCTGGTTTCTGTCATTTATTCAGTGTCTCTGTGGTCAGGGAACTTCGTGTTTGCACCCGTACAGCCCGTTTCCTGTTGCACACGAGGGAAGGGAGACTGGGCAGTCTCTGGAGGACTCCGCTCCCTACTTTATAGATGTAGGTATATAGACAGACATGTAGATCTGTATTTTATAAGGGCAGGAAATGGTAAAATAACTTGCCCAAGGTCAATACATATACTGACATGGAATTATGTTATTCTACCTTGAAGTTTTTTTTCATTGTAAAACCTCCAAGTTATACAGCTTTCAGTCTAATCATCTGTTGGACGGAGATCGAGTAAGGGGTTCAACAGAAAACAGGCTTATACATCGCAGTCCTGGCTGCGGCAGGAGAGGGCCTTAGCTCCAGCGTCAATGAGACCTGGAGGCAGGCCATGCCTGAGCAGGTTAGATGCTTCTGACAAAACTTATCAGCGCACCACCTACAGTCCCTTATAAATCGGATGCAGGGGAGAATGCTGTCTCCCTTCTGCCCCATCCTGCACACCAGGGCCCACATCCAGTGTGGTCTTAAGGACACAGCAGTAGGGATCACTGAGCATCAGTGGTGCCCCGGGCACATTTGCTTGGGTATGCTCATCTGAGACAAAAGTTACTTGGTACGATTGGGATTCATTTTGGAAATGTAAACCCAGGCTTACATAAAGGTGAACTGATTGTCTCCAAAGTGCTGCTCCTTTGGACATTCCTTTTTTTTCACAGAGGGCTACATTAATTTGCTTTGGGTCTCCCTCACTCAGTCCCAAGCTACTTCGGGACAGACACTGTCATGTTGTAGACGCAGGCGTGGGCCTGGCCCATGGTGAGTGTCTCCAAAATACCTGCAGGGCCAATCTTAAATACTGCTTAAAATACAGGGAGCTTTTCCTACTACATCATACTCCCTTCCATGCGACCTTAGCTGTGAGATTTAAGGAAACCCAAACAGTCTGTCTGAGCCAAATGTCCTCTCCCACTTAGCAATTCGCCATCTTCCAGTTCTACCTGGCTGGAAGTTCTCCCCGCCTGCCTTTGGCTTCTGCATATAGATAGGCAGGGGCCGGCGTCTCCAGAGGGTGTTCACTCCCCGTCCTCATAACACAGTGAATCTGATTGACATCTTGGAAGGTTAGAAGGCAGAAACAGAATCTTGTGGATGGAGAAAGGCAGGCCTGTGGGATAGCCCGAGGTGGTCTGCTTAGGAAAGGGGGGATAAGTGGTCACTGGGGATAAATCAGCTCATTTAGAGGGGGGAGGGGTGGACAGAGATGCAGGAAAGGTAAGCCCCACATCTTTGACTAGAAGCACCTGCGTCAAGAAACCGAGTCATCCCTCCGCTATTCAGAACGTGGCTTTCTTTTCTAACCCTTTTGTGTCTTTTGTCAATCGACAGTGCGTTTTCCATTTCGCTGCCTGATCTAGGTAAGTGACTCACTTCTTGCTGGCACAAACCCATTCCACACAGGCACAGGAAGAGGCAGGGGAAGAGAGGTGACCCAGCCTGCGTGCTGCAGTTAATGAAACATGGATGCATCCAAATCAAAGAACAAATTGTTCACAACAGCAGTACTGCCCTTGGGGCAGATGAGTAACATTTCTCGAGACCTGCTGTATCCCAGACCTCTTAAAATCCCAGGGACAAAAAGACATTATCATCCCCTTTAGGAAGGCTCTAGGACCCACATCCCTACCTCTGTGATCTGGGATTTGTACCCCAGGCTCTGACTACGAAGCTCATACATTTGGATTACACCACACAGCCTCCTGAAGTTTCCACAGCAAGATCACCCTAATTAAGATGTAATAAGTTGAGCATGTTCACGCTGCAGTTGACATGCTAACTGAATCAAGGGTGGGTCATTACGGTATTGTTTGCTTTGCTACAAAAACCACAGTGCACAGATAAGCACAGGGCCTGTCTCAGTGGGCTCTCAACACATACTGCGTATGTTCAATCCGTCAGTAGAAGAGGGGCCAGTCTTCGGTTGTTCGTTGGTTTTTGTGGATTCTCACCATGGTGGCTGCTTTCATTTCACTCTGACTTGGAAAATCAAATATATATTATATTCCACAAATAGGAGTTTGCTGAAAAAAATAACAAATGAAGATTATATAAACCTGGTAAAACTGCAGGTCTTCCAAAATATCCTTGGGCCCTGGCTGGTTTGGCTCCGTGGTTGGAGCATCAGCCTGTGGACCAGAGAGTCCCAGGTTCAGTTCCCACTAGCGGCATATACCAAAAAACAAAACAAAACAAAACAAATAAATAAATAAACAAAAATATCTTTGGTCTATGTTTAAAAAAAAAAAAAAGCCAACTTAGAATAGGCATGCATTGTACCCATCCAAATTTATGAATATGAATTTGAATTATCACATTTATTGAATATGAATTATGAATAATTATACCTGAAGGTCTCAAACTCATTCAGGTGGTGAACTTTATGGATTTCTATGTAGAGCACCAGGCAACGTGAATATCCTAGAACGTGTCTAAAGATGATTATGTACCAAGTCAGATTCAATTTTATGCAAAATTATTATAAATAAGCAGTTGCCAATGGTTTGAAATGAAAACTATGGGGAAAAATTCAACATTAATATTCTGTTAAATTCTATTCTTTCCCTTAGGAATTAAGAAGCAGCCTCTCACTATTCTAGCAGTATAACATCGTTTTTTTGTTTATTGATTCCAGAGAGGGAGGAGTGGGGAGGAGAGAGAGAGAAACATCAATGGAGGAGAGATACTCTGATTGGTTACCTCCCATACCAATGCACAGGACGACATTCCAGCCAACCGAGCCACACCAGCCAGGGTGCAATATAACATCTTGGTCTAGGTCCAGGATGACGAAAACCTAGTTTAAAACTGATCCTTTGAGCAGCTCATGTTTCTGGAAATCAAATTGATATAAATATGTGTTTGTGTGTGCATGTGTGTGTGTGTGCGTGTATGCATGCACATGCTTGAGATATTAGGATATTATTTTTAATTTTTTTCTTTATTGATTTTAGAGAGAGAGGAAAAGAGAGAAAGAGACAGAAACATTGATGAGAGAGGACATCAATTGGCTGCCTCCTGCATGCCCCCCACTGGGGATCAGGCCCACAACCTGGGTGTGCCCTGACTGGGAATCGAACCAGTGACCTTTTGGTGCACGGGTTGACGCTCAACCGCTGAGCCACACTGGCCAGGCTGACATCTATTCTTTTTAATACCTCAGTTGAATTTCTTCCCAAATGATCACATTTACATTCTTTGAGCCTTCAGCCTGTCTGTATTGTATGTATGGTCAGATTTTGATAAAACTGGCTTGGGGATATGCCTGGGTGATGAAGTAACTGTGTGCAATTTGAGAATCCAGGGATTGTATAAACCATACCTAATAATGAACTATTTTGATCCTATCTTGACTCTAGAATTTAGGTCGCAGGAAGTTCATGATGATATGAACATGAATGAAAAAGTATCAAGGTAAGTCAATTTACCTTCCGCTCACCCCTGCTATTTATTGTTAGAGTCGACAGTTGAGGAGACCTCTATACGGAGGGGAGGGTTTAAGAAAAGGAAGGCTGGTTCTACCTAGAACACTTTGCCATGCTTTTTGCCTGCTTATCTATTTCATTCTTCATTATTTACAACGGCATTCAGGTCCTACTTTCCCAGGGAGCCCTCTCCGACCCTATCTATTTAGGTTAGATAACACTTTTTCACCAGAACATTTTTCTCGTAGTTGTGAGGGTCTTATTTCTTGCTTATCTCCTCCTCTAAATGAAAACTCCCTGGGTTATGGACTATGGCTTTCCGATCTGTATCATGTGACCTTATACCAAAACATAGGTTGCAAAGTTGATTAAGAAGGGACCTGCTTTTAAAAAAAAAGGAGCAAAATAATCTGGAAGCTCAGAATAGGTAGCCATTTCCATTCTTCAGGGGATCAGGAAAGTCTCTGCCAAGTTGAAGCAGGTAGGTAACATTTTGACACGTGGGGGGCAACTGTGTAAACAGAAAACAAGTGTTTTGGCAAGTTTGTTGCTTCTGGTGAACAGAAACTCTTAATTTTAATGTATTTTAAATTCTTGATTTATCCTTTATGATTGTTGCTTTATCTTTTAAAGAAATCTTTATCCAAAGATCATATGATGTTCTCCCATATTTTCTTCTAACACGGTTTGTTTTGCCTTTTACACTTAAATCTTAGCTCTATGTGGAATGGATTTTTGTATTTGTAGGGAAGTAGCAATCTAATTAAATTTTCCTCCAGGTGAATAAATGTCCTGGCGTGACTGAGTGGCCCATTTTCCCACTGAGCTGCACCTTTGTCACACCAGGTTTCCAGCATCTGAAGACGGCTTCATGCGCTCTGGTCCACTGCTGTGCCATTTCTAGCCCAAGTGCATTGTGGTCTGAGAAAGTAGTTGCTATCAGTACCTTGACATGTTTTGAGACATGGTTTATGCCTCACATATGGTCAATTTTTATAAATGTTCCATGTGCACTTTAGAAATATATGATTTCTCTAATTTCTTTTTACTTTTCCAATTTTTTTGATACAAGGGTCATTATGTCCTTTAAATCAAGTATGCATTAATTCTTTTATTAAAGTCTTCCATAGATTTATGACTTTTTAGATGCTTGATCCATCAACATTTGAAAGCAGTCAGTGGAAATCTTGCCCAAAGATGGCAGATTTGTCAATTTCTTCCAAAAGTTCTGTCATTTGTTGCTTTATTCTATTTTATTAGTTGCATACAACATTTGAAATGTATTCTAGTAAACTGAATGTTTCTTCTTTACGTTGTAGCCATCTCTATCCCTAATACTATTAACAAAAATACTTCTATAGCTCTTACTATGGGTCAGTCACTGTTTCCTATATTTAATATGTATCAACACATTCAATCCCACAACAGTCCTGTGAGCTTGCTACTGTTATTATAAACATTTCATAGAAGAGAGACTGAGGCAAGAGGTTAAGTTACTTGCCCGAGCTCACACTGCACGTTAGAGCCAGGATGTCCATCCATTCTCTTCTCTGCTCCATTATGCTCTACCTGCTGGCCTGATATTATATACCTATTGATCTTTTGGCATTTCCCTAGTATGCATGTTTGATCCCTTCATTTTCTGTTTTCCATATTCTCATTCAGTCTCGCATACAAATAGCATAGAGCTGAATTTGGATTTTTAAAAAAAGTCCAGTATGACAATGTCTTATCGCCTACCTTGTCCTTGACCGACATTTCAATCTTCTGAAACACGGTGGTGCTGATGGACATACTTGCCTTTTGGGTTTGCATACCGCTGACTGCTCTGGCTAGCGTCTGCTGATGTGTGGGGCTAGTCGGGTGCTATGTGTTACTCTATGTATAAAGTGTAGCAATTTGTTAAGACACAGGATCTAGGAGTTTTGAATTTGCAGAGTCCTTTCAGAATATTCTTCTGCTCTCTACTGCCAAATGAGGAAGGCTATTCAAGGTGATGAAAAGCAATGACCTACAACCAAGACTACTCTATCCTGCAAAGCTATCATTTATGATCAATGGACATATCAAGAGTTTCCCAGACAAGAAAAAGCTAAAGGAGTTTATCAGCACCAAACCAGTAGGATATGAAATATTGAAGGGTCTTTTTGAAGAACAAAAATATGAATAAAATGGCAATTAACACATATCTATCATAACTGAATCTACAAACAAAATGAGCAAGCAGAACAGAAACAGACTCATAGATACAGAGAACTTTTTGTTGCTTGCCAGATAGGTGGGGGCTCGGGGGATGGGTGAAAAAGATGAAGGAATTAAGAAGTACAAATTGGTTGTTAGATTGATGAACCTCAAAGGGAAGGGGGGAAGGAGGGTGGAAAGAGATAAAGAACTTCTATGCATATATGCATAAGCAATGGAAATGGACAATAGTGTGGGGAAGGCAGGACGGGGGTGAGATTGGGGAGGAGGGGGTCAATGGGGGAAAAGGGGGGGAACATCTGTAATACATTCAACAATAAAGATGAGTTAAAAAAAATAATAAAATGCCCAGACATTTTACTTAACCCAGTAATTTTACTGTAAGGAACTAACTGTAGTAAAGAAAAAGAAAGAGGGGGGAGGAGAGAGGGAGGAAGGAAGGAAGGAAGGAAGGAAGGAAGGAAGGAAGGAAGGAAGGAAGGAAGGAAGGAAGGAAGGAAAATTACACACAGAAATATGCCTCAGGGTTATTTATAAAAATGAGATGTTTTAAACCCCCCAAATATCCAATGATTTGAATAGTATAGTGTAGTACTCAATATAAACATTTGCTCAATATGTACTAGTTTTCAGTGACATGGAAAATTGCGGGCACTATGATTGATGAAAAATAGCAGAATGAAAACTTGTATGCATAGTATGATCTCCATTCAGTTTTTAAAGGGGCTTGGGAAATGTTTAGAAGGAGACTCAGATGCCCTTGAGAGGTCAGATCATGCTTATTTTGTCCCTTTTCTGCTGCCAGTTTTTAAATATTCAGGATATATTGCGTTATATTCGGTGAACAGGTGTTTAAGCAGGCACTTGCCTGGCCCCTTGCCGGCCCTCGCAGCTGCAGCTCCTTCCAAACAGGCTTCCAAGTTCTCACTGCACACTCGCGGTACGCCCAGCAGAGTGCCCCGCTCCCAGGACACATTGGAATATATGTTCGGATCCCACCTTCTGGGAACCGAAAGTGGAGAGAGAAAACGAATAACCGTTGGACAGAGAAGGAGTAATTACTGAGCTCCGTGTTATAGACTCCAAAGGCAACAGACACTGAGAAGAGAGAGGGATTGGAGAGCCCTCGACAAGTCCCGGAAGGCTTTTTAAAAGACTCCTCTTGCCCTGGCTGGTTTGGCTCAGCAGTTAGAGTGTCAGCTCATGGACTAGAGTAGTCCTGGGTTCAGTTCCCACTAAGGGCACGTACCTAGGTTGCAGTTTGTCCCTGGCCCTGGTTGGGGTCGTGTGGGTGGCAACCAGTCCATGTGTCTCTCTCACATTGATGTTTCTCTCTCTTTTTCCCTCTCTCCCTCCCGCTCTATCTGAAGATAAATGCAAAAATGTCCTCGGGTGAGGATAAAAAAAAAAAAAAAAAGACTCCTCTTAGGTGCATCTTTGATGCTGGTCACATGCTGAGTCCTTGACATTCTATTGGACACCTGTGACCATAATCCGAAGGGAATGGTGACACTATGTCTCTGAAAAATCCCCCAAATTCCTGTGACATAACATCCTGTGGTTCTAATGTACCCAATGAGTCATTTAAGTGTTCAGATGTGCAGACACCAGAGACATACAGGTGGTTGATGGAGTAGGTCCTGTTTTGCTCACATCAGTGATGGACATGTTGGTAACTGCCATACCAGAAAAAACAAAAACCATTTTGAAGCAGCAGGTATGCCATAGACTTGAGGCAAGGCTCCTGGGTTCAAAGCCACGATTTCTGTGACTATGACAGTTCTCTGATCATCTGTTTCCTCTTTCATAAAACTTTATGAATGGCTACTTTAAAGGACGCTTACTGTGAAAAACAAATCAGTTAACGTATGTAAAAGCATTAAGACTTGACACATAGCCCTGGCCGGTTTGGCTCAGTGGTTGGAACGTCGGCCTGCGGACCAGAGAGTCCCAGGTTTGGTTCCCACTAGGGGCACGTACCAAAAAAAAAAGATTTGACATGTAGGTGCTCAAAAAGGATTAGCCTGGCTATAATACCTTCTCCCTCCCTGCATCCTTTCCTACTAATGCTAAGCACTCATTGGATTTATCTTTTCTCTTCATGGAGGTTCATATTATTGTTTGCCTTTTATTTTTCTTCATTGATTTTAGAGAGAGAGGAAAGGAGGAGAGAGACAGAAACATCGATGAGGGAGAACATCGTCTGGCCGCCTCCTGCATGCCCCCCACTGGGGATCGGGCTCACAACCCAGGCATGTGCCCTGACCAGGAATTAAACCAGCGACCTCTTGGTGCATGGGCCAATGCTCAACCAGTGAGCCACACCAGCTGGGCTGTTATTCACGTTTTAGAGGCAAAGAAACTGAGGCTCAGAAAGCAGAGGGGGTATGATTAGAAGCAGGTGGATCTCTTGCTTCTGGTTTCAAATGTAGTCGCCACCGATCAGGGGTGAGCAATGTCTGGTCGGCGGGCATGTAGCCGACCACTTGCTTTTGTAAATACAGTCACAGCGGCTGAGTTCAGAGGTTACCATGGAGATGGTATGCCTGGCAAAGCCTAAAATATTCACTGTCTGGCTTTGCCAAAGAATCAAAATCTACTTCTGGATAATTTTTTAAATGTTTTGGTAAAACATACTTATTACCCAGAAAGTACTGATTGGACTATTTTAGTTCAATCTTAATTTACTTGCTCAAAAATATTTTTCTCCTCAGAGATGAAGTTAAAGAAAAAAACTGGAGGCCCAAGTTTTTTAAACCAAAGGAGAAGAAAGAGTCAGAAAGGTAAGCACACAGGTATACCCACACCACAACTCATCTGCCCGTTGGCACCTCTCACCAGCTGCGTCAACTTAGGCAAGTCAGTAAGTGTGACTTTTCAGGTCCTTCTCTACAAAATGAGAATCACAATACTCAGATCATAATAGTGGAGAGGATTAGAAGACACACAGAATGAAAATGGAAAGCACCACACACATTTCTCTTCCTCGTCATCCTCCCTGCTCCTGGCAAACGGGGAGCGGAGAGAGATGTCAAGCCAGCCCTCATCAAACAATGACCAGCTTCGTTTTCTTTCCGGCTCTAAGGACTTTTCTCCTATAAGACGAACCTTAAATAAGACACCAATTTGAACTTAAATGAAACTAACTATCATATAGTGAGACTGGTTTCCCTAAAATGCAATATCATTCTAGTTTTGTCTACTTTAGTGTTAGAACTACAAGAGAATGTTTTATCAACTCAAAATCTTTCCCTGTGGTGACTTGGGGTTCGGTGCCCCAGTCGTCACCTCAGTCACCAGGAGGTGGGCTCGAGCTGAGGTACACTGCTTACCCACTGTCTTCAGGAAATCCTTGTCGGGATGGTCATTAGGCTGGAACACTGTGTGGTCTGTCTGCTCTGGGAAACCTGTCTAGAAAGTCCTGCAAGGGACACCCCAAGAGAAATAAGACATTAGCCTATACCAACCTCAGACTCAAACTCAAAGGATGGTATACAATGACCCTTCCTTTAAGTTTATTTTCTTTGGGTTTAGACTTGGTGTAATTTATTTTTCTCAAGTCGGAAAGATGTATTCACAGACTAGAAAGCCCTTCTCAATGTACTCTTCATACCTTTGCATAGCACAGCAAAACGGAATTCCGAGGGAGGAAACAGACATTTTTATTGCCCCTCCCGCCTCAAGAGCTTTGGTGTTTTAATGACCACACATGTCATTTTAGGAAACAACTTTCTAGTGCTTTTCTAGTTCTTACAACAAACTGATATAAGTTTACCTTTTTTTTTTGGTTAATCCTCACCCAACGTTATTTTTTCCATTAATTTTTACAGAGAGTGGAAAGGAGGGAGGGAGGGAGGGAGGGAGGGAGGGAGGGAGGGAGGGAGGGAGGGAGGGAGGGAGGGGGAGAGAGAGAGATAGGCGTCAATGTGAGAGAGACACGTGGATTGGTTGCTTCCTGCACACAACCCACCTAGGGCCAGGGATCGAGCCTGCAACCCAGGTATGCTCCCTTGACCAGAAATCGAACCCACAACCCTTTGGTCCACTGGCCAATGCTCTAACCACTGAGCCAAACCAACCAGGGCTAAGTTGACTTTTATCCTCAACTGAGTAAATTTGAAAATGTGGTAAATTTAAAAATGCACTACATTGAGGCTATCATTACTCCCGTAGATTGATGTATCGATTTCCATGTGCTCTTGATTCCTTTTTGAATTGTTTCTATCAAAACTTATTTTACCAATAAGAAAAGCTTTCTATTAGTACAGTCCTTTCATTATTGCTTTATTAATCAAAGATGACATATTTTCAGAGAAGCTGGGGAAGGATGTGACAGGTATAAAGTCACGGCTGTGACAACCCACCTGGTAAGATGTCCCGCATGGACTTGGCATGTAGTTGGGAAAAGGTAGCTGGAAAGGTAGACTGTGGCCAGAAAACAAAATGCCCTGTGCGCCATGGGAATGTACCTTTACCTTTGAGGCAGTTGAGAGAGATCCAAAGGTTTTCAGCAAGAGAATGACACAGTTAAAGTTTAGAAAGATGGCCGGAGGCAGGTATGCAGGTGGATTCACAGATGGAAAGACAAGAGGAAGCTGGTATTTCAGGTGAGAAGTGGTCACAGCCTGAGACACGGCAGTGGCTGTAATCTTGGACAGAACGAAACAGATCTAGGGGATGCTTCTGAATAAAACTGACAGGACTTGTTCGACCTGTTTCCCTGTCAGTACAGAAAACGACTCAAATTCGGCACCAGCCCCCCACGATGAGCAGGAGGGAGGAAAGGAAACCAAGGCGTAGTCGGCCTCTGCTGCAGGTTATCCAGTTTTACACCCTGAAAGTTCTGCATATCGTTTACAGCATCTTGCTTCATTTTCTCAATCCTACCTTCTCCATGATCATTCAGCAAACCGGACATTTCTTTGATTGATGCACAGAGATTTTTAATTCCCCAGTTAGGTTGGAAAACTACAAAATGGAAGCCATTTACTCACAGTTACTGGCTCCCATTAAATAATCCAAGGGTGAGAGGGACAAATGAAAACTTTCCTTACGTTTCTTCTTTCTTAAGTTCATTATACTTGTAAATCTGATTCAAAGACATTTCTTGTTTAACTTAGTTTAACCATGTAGATGTTATTCATGTTATCTTGCTGTCGAAAAATGGTTAATCATGGGGAGAAGAATAGTATTACTGTTCAGTCATTTTGACAATCTGCTCTAGTAGAAAGGTGTGTATAATAAAAGGTATATAAAAATATACACACACAAAATTATTCCTAAATGTATCCTGAAATAGGATGACTTGATAGATCTGGAAACTTCAGAGTTTTATTAATGGTACATTTAACCCTCCCTCCATTTTTCTTGCCAGTCCATCGCCTAGAAATTTCTTCAGAACCAAGAAGCAAAGTTTAGAAAAGAACAAAATGCAAAGAGAAAAACTTTTCAGAGAAGTATTTGAGGTATGTTCTCCTCTGAAGGTAAAAATCAACAATATTAAAGGCTGGAAATTTCTGTTTTTCAGAGAAAGCGTGGGATTAAGATGATTTTTGACTAAAAAGCTGATAAATTTATTTTCCTGGTGCATTTCTGAACTGTCATGGCTTTGCAGGTGCTATTTCCTGTGCCTGGAAAAACCCGAGCGCTCAGTCCACGTGGCACCCACTCCTGCCTGACGCCAGGCAGCTCCCTCAGCGCACGTTCACAAATCCATGACACACGTTAGAACATTGATCCATGGTGTGAGCACCTGTGTGCGCGCACACACCTGGAACTAAAGCTCCCGAGCCCCGTCTGAGAGAGATTTTTGTCTCCCTCAGGTCTGCTCCCCAGCTCCCAACATGAAACGCGTGACACTGCCCAGTGATGAATGAGCCGTGAAACAAACACATGAACAATGAACGAACGAAGGAAACCTCCCTGACCTTTTATCCTGCATTTGAGTCCGGGGACACTTTTCCATAATTCCAGCTAAAGCACACGCTCCTTCCTTCTGATTTTATACTCTGTCAAAACGAGAATTTATTGAGACATACGGAGTGCTTCCACGTACCCGCCACTGGATCGAGAGAGAGTGCGCGTCCAGCTCCTAAAATCTGTCCAAGCTTCGTCTCTGCCTAAAATCTTTCAAAAGTTCCCCATTTCCACATGGATCAAGTTTAGGCTTCTTAGCGTGACGTATTCAGCCCTTCATGCTGTGAAGACATGAGTTTGCAGTAGACGGTTTCATACTATCACACTGTGGTAGGAAACTGTCCACTGCAAACTGTGCTGTTATTTGACTAGTTGAGAAACAACAGTGTAGCAATTTCTCAGGGAAAAGCCCCAACGTTCCATCTAGTGCTTTTCTCCCCCACGGTATTTGGACCATCTCATATGAGACAGAAATTCCATTTCCCATGTGTGTGACTCCATTCCTCCTTATTATCTATGGTGGCTTTCCTCAATATCCCATTAGAAAAAGTCTGCCATTTCAATAACTTTTATTCATTGCAAATCACAAAATATTGGGTACATTTGTGTCAGGCATTGAAGGTACAAGGACGAATAGAACTGTCTTCCACTTTCATTTTACAAGACCAAATGTTTATTATAATGCTACAACAGGAGCATATACAAAATGCAATTAAAACAGTAAATTATCCAGAGCACTCATGAAAGCCTTCGTGCAGGTGGGTAAGAGAATGGAGGACATTCCAGGCAGAGAAACATGAGCAGCGGCGTGGACATGTGGACGGCATGTAGCACAGTCAGGGTTAATGTGCAGCCTGGTAAAGGGGCCAGGACTGGGGGCAAGGGAATGAAGATGTGCAAAGGACCTGAAAGTCAAGCTAAGAAATGCGGATTTTATCATGAAAGCAATGAAGAGTGGTGATCTAACCTGATTTGCATTCTAAGAAATCACTGTGTGTTCACCGTACACAAGGGCCTAGAGAGGGTAAGCAACCCATTAGGAAGCCGTTCCTTTGTAAGACAAATCTATCCTGTGGATCAGAGGCCGCTTGCTACAGGTGATCTCACAGGAGACGGCAGAGCGAAAGGAGGCATACCTCAGAGAAACGTTTGTAAATCAACACTCCTGAGCAAGGGGAGATGTTCAGCCACCCAAACTTGATGGAGTAGACATCTGTAAATATAAGCTATATATTCTGAAGCTTTTTTTCCCCCAGTCACGGGATTTCAATACATTGTAAGTGATGTACCTCTAAATGTATAGGCTGGTTAGTTTAAAACACCAGAAAATAACTCCCTTGAAGTCAGATACTGAATTGCTCCTCAGTTTCTCACAAATGCCTGTCTCTGACCACAAAAGGAGAGTGGGAACTGCCCCCACCCCTATCCTACTACTTTCAAAGGTACATTACAGCGACATATAGGAATACACAAACCCGCCCAGAGAGGACAGGAGAAAAGGTGTGTAAGCATTGTAAACTCAGAGTTTCTCCCCCACCTTAGTTTTTAACTTCTCCTTTCCTGGTGGTAACTTTATTACTGGAACTGTTGACATACTATGCTATCCACAGTGCTTAATATATACCCATGTACAGAATCCATTCACCAGAATTCAATCTAGTACAATTAGATAATGATGTGAAAACACTTTGCAACTGGGATCGTACCGAGCAAATATAAGACTGTGGCATTTTACCATCACTTCCTTAAATAACTTTCCTTTCACTGACTGTCTTGCTATTATTTTCTACTCCCTTAGATATTATTTAATGAATTAATATCTAGCATCTTGAGTTTATTTTGAGGTTACTAATTTTATCATAATGAAAAGAAAAACGATGCACACACAGTCTGATTAGTAATTTCTCATTCCAGTATGACAGAGAGATTACTGTCATCAACACAGCGGTGGCATGTTCCAGGAATTCAAGAAATGGAATCTTTGATTTGCCAATAACCCCTGGAGAAAAACTGGAAGTCATTGATACCACTGAAGAAAATCTAGTGATATGTCGCAATTCTAAAGGCAAATGTAAGTCGTTGCCCATAAAATTTCACTGCTTTAAAAAATCTCAAAGCATCACCTCTATAATGTTCAATGATGTTTGTTTCCATAGATGGATTTGTGCTCATTGAACATCTACATTTCAAGTAAGTGGCTTGATTTTATACTTCAAATCATGAATTCTAAATACTTAACACCTTGTTGTGTACATTAGTCTTGAGGAAAGACCAGTGAATTTATTTGCATTCAGGGAAAAGTTGAAGATTAGATATGCAACGCCCTATTCCATAAGGATTACTCTGGAAGAGACTTTGCTATTGTCTCCTGAGTACGTTACCAAGCTTCTCTACAGAGTATATTTATAAACATTTCAGAGGAGTGTAAAAATATTAAACTGGGTAAGAAATTTCACAGAAATCTCCTGGTCACTACCCCGCTGGTCTACACTTCAAAATGTATTTTTGTTTTTCTCAGGCCCCAAGGTTGGTCAACCTAGGAAGAGCCACATCAAGTGTACAGACGCAGGAATGAGAACCAGTTCTAGGACCGAGTCCTGTCCCATCAAGCTCACTTCCCATGTCCCACTGAGACGGTGGGACCCGTGGACACCTGCGTCAGGAACTTAGAAAACAAATCCTCCACAGTCAATTGGTTTTACTCCCCAAAGGCTACCTGTCCACGTCACTGCTGACTCACAGAAGGTGGAGGTGCGTTAGCATCTGAGCACCTCCTCAGTGAGCCCCATGCAAAGCGACAAACCACGCCGACGGCACTGCCAGCCAGCTGGACAGACGGTCGGCATGCTTCCACTACTGGCGTGGGCGTGCCTATACATTCCAAAAGATGCTGTACCTTTAAATGGGGTATGATCCCATTATGGGGGGGAAATAATGTAACCAAGACCTTTTAAATACTCAAAGTACAATCTTGAAATAGCTACAGCTCAGTCTTTTAAAAAGTCAAGGTATAAGTGTTCTGCTTTATTACTAAACCAAAATCAGACTAAAAATGCTGCTCAAAATTGCTTTCCTTTGGGAATATAACTTGTTCATAAATCCACCCAACATCACTGAAATAACATGTATGCTGTATTGGTTTAAAATAGCCTGTTGTCCAAACTAAGTGATACTTATTGTTTTGTCAGTGCCAGAGAACCTGCTTAAATAATAGAATTCATGTACATTTTTACTTGTGTGAAAGTAGAGAAAAATAAGCTGCGCTGTTAATAACGTTCTACCTTGTGAACGGTGTGCTCTGCCTGTTACACAGGGTGATTCGGCCTTCAGCGGTGTGGCTTGACTCCGTGGCCCCATCCTTATACTGCAAGATTACTTCTGAAGCTTCTAAGTTCTTTTATTTTCTTTTTCAAGTTCCAAGTGGCACTTTTCAGTAACGGTCAGGCTTATTCTAGAAGACAAGGATCAAATGTATGACAGAGCATAGAGAGGAAGGAGATATGAATGAAATGCCCAGACGAGGAAGATATGAATGAAGTGCCCAGACGAGGAAGACCGGTTTTACAGATAATGGCACTGAAGCTTGGTCTTCAGCCACAGGAGTCTTAGCTACACAAGGCAGGGATGGAAAGTCCATGCTGTCTGGTGACAAGAATGAAACTGAGGGGACATGACAAGAGCTGGAATAGGGCTGGAAAGTGACCGAGTTCTTATTCAAAGGTCTTCAGCAGGAAGGCGATGCCAGATGTTTAGAGAGGAAAGAAAAAACCATCACAGCACTATGGGTGACCTATCAGAAAGGGGAGGGGCTCGTTGTTTTTGCAATATTCTAGGCAAAGAGCATTGGACCATAAAACAACAGCTCTAAAAATATACAGAACAGGAGCCCCATTAGAGATATTAAAAAGGTAAGGAAACAGTATCTTGCTGACTGACCAGAGGTGAGAGGAAGAATTAGGGAATGACTCCGAGATTTCTATTTTGGGAGCTGAGATTAAGGATGGTAGCAAAATTGGGAACATATTTCCGCTTGGATGCCCTGAATTAAATGTGAGAGGCGGGGCAACCGCAGCCCTCGCCCACACCCGGGGCAGACCTGTTACAGGGGCATTTCCGTAGGAGAGCAGGTGGCCTGTGGGCAGGAGGTCGGTGAGAGAGAGGATTGAGCTATGTAGAGCAGAGCCCTTGCACGCAATGCCCTGTAAAAGACGGAATCCTCAACCAGGCACTACTTTTGCCACCTGACCAAAACAGGAAGTATTTTCAGTCCTGTAGCGGCAGCGGGACTAAAGTTCAGCTGGGACGGGTTTGTCCCATACACGGTCCCTCTCATCACATGACCCCTTGTTCTAATTCCGTGACTCAGCTCTGAGTCTGTTTTCTCAGCAGTGAAATGGCTAATAACACTCACCTCGCACAGGGTTGTTGTCAGGCTGTAATGTAATAATATAAATAAAAGTGTCCTAACATCCTTAATACACAACACTGTGTATGTGTTATTTTAGTACCTGGTCTTCTATGAAGTTGGAAGATGCTGAAAAGTATGATTTGACATTCAAATCTGAAGACTTGAAAAAAGTGGCTGGGATGTAGTACTTTTACATAGATATGTTTAATAGGATTTTAAAACTGAGCATTTTTCTATGCTTTTACAATAGAATCCATTTGATTTCATTGAGACTAATTACTATCTGTTGATAGGGACTGTATTTTTAGGAAAAGTAACTGCCTCCCCATGTGACTGGTTCTAGTCACTGTCAGCCACATTTCTTGCATTCTTTAAAGCACACCATTGAAACGAGATTTCTCACACGATTGATCTGTGAGATCCTCTAATGTAATCATCATAACTAAGATGTCAGTGACGCCCTGTCTCCTAGAACCCTAACCTAGCATAAAATTTCAATGAAAGACCGAGTCTCTATTTTACTTTTAATTCCGCATGAAAGCGTATCAGTAAAGATAACAGTCTGTCAGATAAAAACAGAAAGGCACGTGACCTGCACAGAGGCTCACACTGGCCCACACTAGTGCATCTATGGCCACGTCACCAGCTACCTGTTCATTTGCACCCACCGGACCTTCCCCTCCTCCTCTGAGACCTGCTGGTCCTCCCAGGCGACGGCACGCTGTTGACCGGCCCCTCCTGCACACCTTCAGAACTTTTAAAACAGAGCTTCTGGGGGAACAACAGGAAGAGGAAAAAATGACTACGTAAACACACATTCCTAAGTGGTTGTCTCTGGGTAACAGGGTTAGGATGATGTTCTCTGCAGCTTCTTCAAACTTCCTGCACATTTCACATCTCTCACTACAGCGTCCACCACCCATGGGCTTAGGAACCATAGGGAGAACGTGTTCACTAATCCATCCAAACTCCTTCTTCTAAGTTAGGAAAAGCAAATCGAAATCTTTACTTACAGTCGTCCCTCATTTATCGCGGTTAATCCGTTCCAGACCCTTGTGGTTGCTCCCGGCGTTGAAGGATTCCTGGGGTGCTCGAATACATAGGCCTACAGCCCATACATACAGTCATTTTAATTTCAATTTAATACAGGGGTGTATAACTGACTCAGACAGCCGAGCGCACGCTGTACCGTTTTCGCTCTCGATCCACGTTTTAATGAATACATTTGAAAAAACCGCCGTGGAGTGAAGCCGCGAAAGTCGAAGCGCGAAGTGGCAGGGACGACTGTACATATCTTGACTCGGATGTGTCGTTCGCGAGGACAAAGTGCAATGCTTTTCAGAAAGTCGCTTTCAGGCGTAGAGATAGGCCCGGTCACATTGTCAGCAGCACAGCCTTCCGCTCTCGGTGGCGTCGGCGCAGCAGTCGGTGGCCTGCGCCCGCCGGGCCTTTCCCTTCCTGCCCCGCGGCGGTGATAAACAGAGTCCCGGCCTCCGGGGCCTTCCTGCCCTGGCCCTGCACCTGCAAGTATGGCATGCGACTTTACAGAGAAAATCAGGGTGGCTAACCAGTTGACTTTAAACTAGGGAGATTACCCAGGCGCGCCCTATTTGATTGCATAGGCCCTTAAAATCAGAAGCTTCAGCCAGTCAGAGATGTGCTGGAAGAGGCCGGGGACTTCTGAACCATGAGCCCCTGTTGCTGGCTTTGAAGATGAAGGGAGCTGCGGTCCAGAGAATGGTAATGGGCTCTAGAAGCTGCAAATGACCCCTAGCCATGAGCCAGAGAGGAAAGGGGACCTCAGGCCCACAGCGGCACGAAGCTGACCTCTGCAGCCACTCGAACACGCGCGCAGCAGCTGCTCCCCAGCCCTGCAAACATTCCGTGTTCAGCCTCGTGGACTGCGAGCAGTAACACCAGCTAAGCCCACTGCATTTCAGAGTTAGAGAACTGTAAGATAAGTTGTGTTTTGGAAATGAAATCAGCATCATGGCAGAGGGAGATAACCCCTTGGTGCATCCCCTGAAATCGACGACATTTATAACTCCTCTGATCAGCCCCCTGGTCACCTGAAAGAGCCACACACTGGCACCTCTAAAAGTGGGTGTACTGGCATGCACAGCAAAAGTGTGGGGGGGCTCTCTAGCTGCCACGGTGGAGCCTGCATCCCCAGAAAACAAAGAAGCGCTGGAAGAGCTGGGATGTGGCCCCCACACCACGTCCTGGCAGAAGGGGCCAGCAGCATCAGCACCAAAGAATCCGGGCCCCCCCATGGCCTGGGGTGGTGCCTGTACTGGCAGAGAGCCTACAGCCGCAGGGGACACAGCTCCAGCCTCCTGGGCACAGAGCCAGCTGCCATAAGAAACCAGATAGCAACACAACGGGCTCACACACCTGGCCGTCTCACCTGCCCCCTCCCCATGCTGTGGTGGCAGCCCAGACAGAGCAGGGGCACCCACAACCTGATCACCCAGGTGTGACTTCCATGACCATGCTGGTGCCCTCCCCACCACCGCCACAAAGACGCCAACAGCGCGGGCACCGGAGATCAGGGAAACCAAGTCGTGCCCAGTAAGAGGAAAGCAAAAGTTGCCTCACAGCACTTTCTCCGGAAAAGAGAAGCCCTCCAGTTGTCAACCTGCTGAATTAACATCAAATGTGCTCACTACAAAAGTGCTCACTACTCCAAATGCTCGGGAAGAGGAACAGCACATCAAACACCGTGAACAACCAAGGTAACATGGTATCGCAAAAGGGAAGGGGGCAATTTTCTAGAAACCAAAGTCATGGAAGACAGATCTACATGACAGAACAGGACAGCAGTCACGGAAGAGCTCACCGAGATACAAGAAAATGCAGAAAAGAAGGCCAACAAGCTCAAGAATAAAATTAATGAACAGGACTACTTTACCAAAGAGATGGAAACTCGAACAAAGAACCAAACAGAAATTCTGGAGCTGGAAAGCAATAAATGAGATGAAGAATGTATTAGGAAGAATTGGAAGTAGAGCAGACAGATCATAAGGAAGAGGATTAGCGAGCTCAAAGGCAGAAATCCGGAATGATTCAGGTTGAGGAGGAGAGAAAACTAAGGTTTTTAAAAAATAAAGAACTCTGTGAGGACACTCTAACTGCTTTAAATAGGGCGACACGAGGGTAATGGGCATCCCCGAAGGGGAGGAAGGGGACGGGACAT